TCACGGAGACCATGCATTCTGAGTTTGCTAAATGATGATTGCGCTGTTGCTTGTCGCGCTGCACCTGCTCCAGCTGCAAAAGGGTGCCCTGGCCCTTCAGGGCCACTGGGACGCCATAGAAGCCTTGGACTTCTCAGGTGCCAGAGCTCTACGGCTCCAACGGGAAGAGCTACTGCTTGCTGGAGCCTGGAGCAGGCCACGGGTCGCTTGTGGGCCGCAACCTCTTCCAGAAAGAATTCCAGAAGCCCAAATCCGTAGCCCTAAAAAAAACAGCCTGATGATAGAGAGAAGTTGCGCCAATGGTTTGTTGGTGCTCCTTTGTGTAAATGGGCGAAGACCTTGCGCTCTGGAGGTCATGTGTCGCGGGGTTTGACCCTAAACTCCAAGCCCTAAAGGGCGACAGGAGCTGGGCCCTTAAACGGTGGGAGACTGCGGCCCGTTAGCATCTGACCTGCAGCCGCTGCTGTCCTGACACCCTCGCCCGAAGACCTTCGCCAATGTGTAGATTTCGAGGGCCAGCCCGAAATTGGGTGCACCTCCCTGGCAAACCGGACTGGGATGTTTGGTCCCTGTGCATGCATGCATCGATCTGGCAATTGGTTCTGCCTGCAGACAGCTCTGGTTAAACCGGGAAGATTTTGGTCGGCAAGCCGACATTGTTGACCGTTGTGTCGCCCGGGAAGGACTCGTTGCGCGGAGCTTGGTGGGCAGAATTATCTAGCGCAGCGGAGCTGCGACAATCACGACTGCATTCTCATGCTTGTCTCTTGATGTTCGGATCGAAAGCAGTTTCAATTGAGCTTCTTTGGAACTCCAGGAACAGAGGGTATTATGTGTGCAACTACTCCGGGCTGCCTTTTAACAGCCCAGTTGTTTGCATTACCTGCAGCCTTCCAGGAGCTTTCATATTTAGCTGATCGTTAATAGCTCTCATATAATGCATAGAACTCATAGAGTCCAGATCATTACACAGTGATGACAGTGCAGCAAGTTGAGGGTTGCCGATTCGAAAGGTGGTGCTGTGACATCTGAGGTCAAAGAGCTTCAGCTCCGCGGCATGGCAGGTGGTCGCTTGAACTGCTTCCCGGCCGGAGCGAGGGCGGTACGAATAGGTGCTTCTGTTTCATTTGAGATGTCTTTGTGATGCTCAGCGTCAGTACTGTCGAGCAGAGGCTACTCGCTGACCCTGTCGCAGCCTCGGGTTCAGAGTTCAGGGCATGGCCACGGTGAAGTGCGCGGGACGATGGTCTTGATGCACTTGGAAAAGAACATCGGCGGGCCAGACAAGAAAACAGTCTGTTACACATCCTATCACGCTACAATAGACCCAAGTCGACAAATCAAAGTGGAAACCGCACATCCGCACAACTCTGTTCGACCTGATCTTGAACCTTTCTACATGGTGTGTTGGTGGTCATTTGAACTTTGAATAATTGCGTCAACGGCGGCAGTAGCCTTCAAAGCTTGGCGGCGTCTCTTGGGGTCTTTCCAACAACCTCGTGCCTTGCATTTTGCTGTGATTCTGTAGGACACCGCGCAGTGAGCATCAAAAGATAATATCCCGAACTCGCAAGCGGAATTACACTGAATCCACATTGAAGCCTGCGAAGCTAAGACAAAGCCGCGCTCTCCTCCTCCTGAACCTGGCACCCCCATGCCCGACGCCCTTGCCGAACCCCTTGGAACTCAGCCTCAGCACCCCCCCAAAATCCTTGAGCTGTCCTTTCGGGGCTTTGCTTCTCCGCCCTTTCTCAGGTGGTTCCGTGTGCCCAACCTTCCACTGAAGGCGGACCGTCTGATCCTCATGGACTTCCCGAGGCTGGGTAATACAGGGGTCTAAATCATTAACTTATACTACCATTTTGGGCCTTGGGGTTCCTTATGAAATTTATAGAACAAGAAACCCCCAAATCCTGCTCTAATTATTAGGGCCCCTATAGTAGGGCCCATGCATGACGGCTTGCTGTTCGCGGATTTCCCGACATCCTGTTCGCAAATGGTTTGTGTTCTGTACGAGCTGTAGCCACCTCGATGCCACGGACCATATGGATGATGTTGTTGATGATGGCGTGGAGATACCACACGACTGTTTCTGTGGAAACAGCACTTCGAGCTTCTGAGATGTTGCACCATGTCGTAGACATGTAGGCAGATGTTGGCGCCTGAACCATGCGGATGGCTCAAGCGTGCATAAGGGGCCTGCCTTTGCTCCAGTGCTTTGCAGTTTTTATTCCGCCTCAGCACCCCAGACAGAACTCGTGTATATTGTTGCGGCCGAAGACAGAGGTTGCACGCGTTCAGGGTCGACTCGGTTGAGATAGCTCGGGGACCGCTGCCAGGCCAAGCAACGATCCGCAGCAATTCGACACGCCAGAGGAGGCCGCCGTCTTGCGGGGGCTCGGGCTTTCGGGTGTGTTTTTTGCGCACCTCTTCGGCAACATGTCATGAGGGTCGTATCGTATTGCAGGTGTGTGTTCGCAGGACTCAGGGGCTGAACTACTGAGTCGTAGAGTCAGAGGAGCATTGCTGGCGCGAGCTTGATCCAATAAAAGGATTCGGCGCACATGTCCAAACCACAGCCGAGAACATTGAAGCGGGCACACGCTAATTAGTCACACGGAGTGCATGCTTCCGTCATGGCATATCATGCATGTAGACACGATATGCAGGGTCTACAGCTTGCCAAGGGCAAGTTCAGCTTTTCTGGAGCATTTTGTAGGGTCCCGCGGAAGGAAGCTAGTTCACCACCTAATCCGCCCAGAATTACGAAGGCTTTTGCCAAGACATGATTGGTTCAAGCGTACCATGAGTGCTGAGGCACTGCATGTAGCGCAGAACCCCCCCCCCCCCCCCCCCCGGCAAATCGCAACACTTCCAGAATCGGAACCATTGCTCGACGAGTGCCATTTATTAATGCTTAAAAAAGCATGGACCTGAGACATGATTGCAGAGATTCCGGTTAGCAGTCCGCAGCAGCGATACTCTTGCTGTTGTCGGGACTATTGCTATGATCACGACTGAATAGCTCGGCTCAGAGAAAGCACGCAGCTGCGTTATGCCTGCCGCGTGGCCGCTGAAAGTTGCAGTTTGACACAGAACAGCAAAAAAGGCACTCGTAAATAGTCGCGGCAGTGCCAGTACTGCTTGCAGTGAGGATGGTCGTCGTTGTCGTGGTAGTAGTAACACTGTTAGAAAGCGAGAGAAGTAGAAGTAGATGACAGTTGTAATTAGCTTAGCTGGCAGGAGCAGAACACCGGCAAGCTCTTCATCTGGAAGAACGGTTTGATCGCCCCGGAAGGCGGGCCTTTTAAGTCGCGCAGAGATGTTCCATCCCAGAGTTTAGGCTTTGATGTGTCTGCACAGGCTGCCATGAGCCTCGTGTACTCTCCAAGAAAAAGCGACGAAATCAGGCCAAGTCGCCTGACACTGTTAGTTGTTAATGATGAGATGCTTGCTTACAACAGTAAGAGAGTTCCATGCAGCTCCACGAAAGTTCCGCTTGCCGCGTAAAGTGCCGGCTGCCTCGGATCCAGATTTGGAGGACCTGAACCCTAGTCCTGAGAGCTTGTGAGGCATCTCGGGGAACGCCAGCAGCCTCCGTAACCGGAGAATGGCAGCTGCAGTTCACAATTGAGGCTGGAGCACGAGCCGTGTTGTGTCTTAGATCATGGGTTGGGTGATGCTTCTGCTTCTGGACAGTTCAATGATATTTTAGCACCAACCATCGTCATAGTTGCTAGAGCAACCCAAAATCGCAGAAGCAGCAGAGTCGGTAGCTTGTGAGGCGCATGGCAAGCTTCCGCAGCCCATGGGACAGGAGGCCGCGAAAGAATCGGAGCTGCCTGACGAAGTACTCCAACTATTGCTAGGTAGCCTTGCTGCCGCTAGTATGGTGTGTTCATTTTAACTTTCTTGCGGAAACTGATGCTGAGCCACAGCCGTGGACCCTGTGCTTGCTTGCCTCAGCATCGCATAAGAGGCCCCGCCCATGGACACCGCAAATCCGGAGCCCTACCTATGCCGTATGCGCCGTATGCAAAGCCATGCCTTCAAGCTGGCAGTAGCTCTGTTTACCCGAAGTGCTTTCAGGCAGCAGGATCTGGATCTGCTCCGGCCGCTGCTGCACCTGAAGCAGCTGAGGAAGATGCCGAGCAGGTGCGGAAAGCTTCGGGAGTTTCGCAAAATCAAAGGCCTGCCTTCAGCCAGAATCCCGACTCCCCGGAGACTCCCTCTTTTGTCTATGGGATGCTATCAGGGGTACTACAAAGGTTGCTAGGAGGGCTACTCTTTGAACTAGGCTCCAGGAGTCAATCCTTTCGAGCTTCGCGCTTCTGAGCTTTCGTGGCGTGAGTTAGCTTAGCTGGTGGGCATCAAGCTGTAGATCTCTGCCGTCAAGGGCTGAAGCCCCGAGGCTCGAGAAGTGTAGAGATGTCAGGAACATGCCGAGTTTTAGCAGATTTCCTTCACAGCTGCGTTGCAGCAAAGCTTTAGGTTTGGGTTGACTGGAGGCTCTACCAAAGACTTTTTGCAGTGCTACTGCCATGATCTCTGTCATTGTCAGATCCACTGCTCCTATTCTTGCTGCAGCTACTGCGAGTGCGCTATTTGGCTTTCATAGTTGAGCTGTGGCTTCGGCTTTAGGGCCTTTCGTGTCTTCTTTGTAGGGCGCTGAGGCTGCAGAGGCGTGCAGAAGCCATACGACAGAAACATTCGGAATGTACCTGGTTCTTCTGACTCACTGCGTCCCGTCTGTGGTCCCATCATCATCAACTTCTACCCAACTAGATACCGCAGGCCTTGTTTATTAGGCTCAACATTTGCTAGTGTTGCTTCTTTAGGGTTCGTACTGATTTCTGCCAGATTGTACTAACTTCCGACAAATTGAAGTGGCAGGGGCCGGAAGCGAACGATGCAGCTGCTACTGCACACGGTGCAGCAGCCAATGCCCAATCCTCAGGTTCTGGGAGAGTCGGCCGCTGCTGGGCAAGTAGGGTGACAAAGCGCCCTGAGTGGGTAATTAACCATTACGCTTATACTTGATACTAACCATACACCAAGTGGACGACCCAATGAAGCTCAACCATATAGATTGTAGCAATTAAAATGTGTGCGTTGATTCTTAAATGTAGATATAGGGGTAGCCCCTGTTCAGCACATGGGCAATGCAAGTTCCTTCAGCCGCTGATCGTAGCTGATACAGTTCTCCAGCTCCTGTATCTGTGGATGGTGCGAGTCCCCTTCCTAGCAGCTTCCGTTTCACCAAGGCTGCTCGCATGCTTCATGCTGAGTCTTCGCAAGGCTTGCCTGTGAGGGACACATGGGTTATCGATTTTTTGGTTCGGGGTCAGCGCAGAGTGATCCTTGGCCTGGCTACTTGAAGGCCTTTTGGTTGATGCGCAGTCCGCAATAAGGAGCTGGTGGCAGAGAGCAGCGAATGGGCTAAGAACTGTTCGCTCCAAACCTTCGTGGATGGGCCCTTCCAGGCCAGATTCCATACACTGTCCAGATCACCTGCGACTCGAACAGCGGAGCCCGGCTCCGAGACCAGAGTGGGAATGGAGGTTCAGGCTGAACATGTGATTGATGATCAGATAGCAGGATCTGAGTGCATCTTGAGCCCCTTTTGTTTTAGCTCTCTCCCTTTCTCTCTTCCCCTCTGTCTCTCGCTGGTTTATGCGCAGGCCCTAAAATGTTCCTGTTTGGAAGCGGTTGCCTGTGCCCCGGAGACTTAGGTGCTCCGTGTGCGACCCGCCCGCGGCAACCGCCTGGCGAGCGGAGGCTCAGGCCCTGCAGCAGCTCAGGGCGCTTGAAACAAGAATAAACATAAAGTGAAGATTATTGATATGAATATATGGTTCTGCGAACAAGGAACCGCTTTATTTTAGCATCGGCATCAAGGTTGTATCCGATTCCCTTGGACGCACGGCTTCTGTTCTGCCTGCTGCATGCTCCAGTCTAGGGCCCAAGCTCCCGTGCTTCTCCACCCGCTTGTTTCAGAATATCGACCTGTTTCAGGCGAAGAGATCTTCAGCGTGGTGATCCGCCGGGGGCCCACCTCCATCGGACTGCTATTTCGGCGGGGTGATCCTGGTCCACAGTTTACGCTCAGTGTTGTTTTCGCGGCAGTGGTCAGGCCGAACTCTTGGTTGTGCCTCCGCACACCCCCCAAAAATCTCGAACCTCAGTTCTGAAGCGCCCCGCCATCCTCATTTCTTGCTAGGAGTCCGAGAGCCTCAGCTCAGGCCTCAGCGAAGAGCGCCAGCGGCTGATCAAAGACGAGATGGGCGGCCGCGAAGGACCTCATGACGTTCATAAATGCTACAGAAACAAGAACCATGAAAGGCCTGCCTCAAGACCCTTGCATTGTGATGGGCAAAGTACCACTACCATCGACGGGTTTTGAGGATTCACGAAGCTCGGCACCAGCTTGACTTGGAGCACACCAGTGCAATAGGCAATCGGATGCAATAGGTAGTGGGAAAACCTGGTCGAGTGCCTGCAAGGTCACGAGTCTGATGGCCCTTCGCCCTCTATTCAAGGTCCAAGTGTCGAAGTGGAAGAGACTTCAAGAAACGAAGCTTTTTTTCCGGACTCTTGCAGAACTTCATTCGTATTTGCTCGGTAGTGGAGTTAATGTAACACTAGAGGGTCAGGCTTCTCCGGGCTAAGTCATATTTGCCACTGACATGTCCATTAGCTTCCCCAACTCAGCCACCGAGCCGATGATTGCAAGGGCAGCCCTTTTAGGTTACTGGGGCTTCTTGGGTCGCACGCTTTTAGGGTTGCATGGGGATCTGGAGAATATCGCAAAACAAAGCGATCCCGAGCCCTTACCTGGTCTCTCACGCTTTCGTGGCGCGTAGGAGACGATGCTTTCATATCCAAGCGGCTCTGGAAGAAACACCTGAAGTCAGTGGCCTCGAGCTTGGCTGTGTGTGAATAAGTCTAACTAGGCGTGTTAAAGCCGCAAAGCCGTCTAAATCCTGTAAGCCCGAAGTCCTGAACCCTAATTACCACTAACCAATCCTCATTCTGTTGCCCTCGAAGGTCCTCATAACAGGCTCTACCTACTAGGTATTCCGACTGTAGCAGGGAGGAAAAGGGCCCTCAAAAAAAAAAACTGTTACCACTGTACACGAACCCTGTCAGGGGCCTATTCTAAACGTTGCGAGTTCCAAAGTGCCCTCCATGAGCCCTAGAAGCCTCCAGTGTAAATATGGCGTGAAGACGCGCACTGAGTGCTAGACTAGAAATTTCGGAAGTGCATTGGAGAAGTAGCCAAACTCTGAAGTGTTAAAGACATGGGCCCTTTTCTGCTGAGAGGTCAGCGGACTGGGAAGGTCTTTCGAATCCCTGGGCTTCGCTGGCGGAAAGCGGCATTTCAAGGCGGGTTTAGGCGCATTTCATGGCTTCAGGTTTGGGGTACTTCAAACTTGCAGGATTTGTATAGCGGTTGAGAAGGGCTCGAAGGCTTATACTGTAGGGATTGATTCGGGGTTTAAGGGTTTCACGCGAAGCCCTGCAGATGGTCCTGACTAGTACCCACAAAGCAACACAGCGATGATACTGAAATTAGCAGCGATTTCGTTGGGGTTCTAGACGCATTGTCTTGACGGCGCTGCCATATGTGTGGTGCCCTCGGGCTTTTGGGAATCAAGAGCTCAATGTTGCTTCTGCCGTTTAGTCAGGATAGCTTTTGGAGCTTCATGGCTTCTGAGCTTCAGACGGCTAGCGGGGCCTGTTTTCTGAGAATAACAGCCCAGTGCACAGCTTCAAGATTCATAGCAGGGAGTTTGTGGGTTTCGCGATGCTTGGTGCGCTGTACTGAAGCTCACAAGCTTGCAGGGTCGCGCGTTTCTTGGCGCTCGAACCTGATGTGTTGAGTCATAGATGTGATAGTTTGCATTGCGAGCTAGATCAGGTTCTGAAGTTTCTCAGTCAGTCGTGGAAGGCTACTCTGTTCCGCAAGCTCAAGGAGACCCGTGACGAAGCCACTGTGCCTCTGCAGCAACTTAGTGCTGTGTCGCTGAGGATTTCATCCTGAGAGGGAGAGAGGGTGCTGTGAAGCAGAAGAGCTCGGCCAGCATGATTTAGAGCTTCTTTTCTTAGTCTGCTCCCTTCGGGAGACTTGAACTTACACGTTTCGCCACGCTTGGGTTTTACCCGATTGTTCGCCATGCTAGCACAGGAGACAAGACCTCGAGGTCCGGTTGTGTCACGGCATTCGCAACACCACTGAGGGTGCGAGACGGTGGGGGAGGCCTAATAGACCCTGTGGTCCAGAGAGGAAGGGAGACAGACAGAGCGAGAGAGAGGGAACAGTGTCCCACTGCAGCTCTGCGGAATGATGACATGCAGCCAGCAGGTCGCTGTGCGCCAGACGGAGGACCACCGGCGAAGAGTGTGGGGAGCACGCTTAGCCCTAGGCGGTTGCTTGCAAATCCAAGAGGAACTGTTGCGCAAATGCGGCAAGAGACACTGAAGCATGGGGATGACCCCATGATGACCCTTATGCTTTCACTGCGTCTTGCTCGATCACGGAGGATGCTGCGGCCGCAATCGCGGATCAGATCCGGTCATCTGGTGCCGGGGTCTCGTCTCATGTCTTGCCGATATGATGGCAGCCATTCGGCCTAGCAGTGTGCAAGAACTGTTCCTCAGCACATAGGGCTTGGAGGTCGTCTTGCAGTGGCAATGTCGTTTGTGTGATTGGACAACGCTTTGCCACCATGGAGAATCAGGCTCTTTCGCAGGACCCCGAAGCCACAGAGGACAGGACTTTCGCCGGCGTGCTTGGATCTTAGACTCAATCATGTTGTTGTTGTTGTTGTTGAACCTGAAGCACCAATGAGCAGCCACCGTGCAATGTCAGTTTACAGTAGCAACTGAGTTTTTGTTGGGTCTTTGCGTGGTCGGCCACATTGCCGAGGCCGAAGCTGTTCGACATCGTCACAATGAGCCAGGATGCGCAAGACACCTTCGGGCCACTGCGAAATGGGGCGAGGGCCCCTGACTTCGCACCCCGTCAGGTCCGCTGCAAACGCATGTCATTGAAAGATGTTTCCGAAGAATCATGCCAGTATATACAACGTCCCGACCAAGCTGCGTGCTAAGGCGACGGGCGAGATCAGCATGATCGATAGCTATGGTGAGGAGCTTATAGGGTCAGTACGGACTGGATATCTGCAGGCTGGTACGTGCAGCCGTACAGCTTGCTTTACCAGCTCAGTGCTGCAATTGCCTGGGCTAGTGGGCACGAGCGCGACCCCTTCCAGTTCCTCCCAAGCTGTTCGTGCGAGATGTGGGTGCTTCAGCTGATTTATGGCTTTGGCTGTACGTGCACACAGAGCGGCACAGCACCATAGATTTGCAACTGGCTCCTTGACAGACGATGGGGACTCATCTTTTCTAGCTCGACAGACCGCTTCCAATGAGGCTTATTCTGAGGCTTGTAGAACTGTATGGGTTTCTCGTAGATACAGCAAGTATATTTGGCGTCTGCTTCCCCTGTCGGTTTCTTATCTGGGACGGTTTTTCCACATCGCCATTTCCCTGGCGCAGTGGTGCGAGATGACTTAGAGTTTTTCTTCACAGCAAGCAGATAGGCATCCGAGACGACACATTGTACTGCAGCAAAGTGATTCCTAAAAGTACCACGCAAGCCATGCTCATCAAGACATGACAGATCCAGGCGTTGTTTCAGTAAGCGTCTCAGTAAAACTTCAAAGTCACGTCCATCGCTAAAGCACCCCAATTGCTGTGAGGTGAAGCGCTGGTGCATGTTCCGAATCGCCACGAGGCGGCCATCCGCTCCGTAACATCGAAACATGTGAATTCATACAGTATGTACCTTCACCGAGTATGCCTCGCAGGTTGATTTGTTGGAACTCATGCGCAGAGGAAAAATGCAAGATTTCCTGCGATTCTGCAGGCGACCGGTGTTTACTGGTACTCCTTCCGGGATATCATCCTCGCCACAAAGGACGGGAAAGAGGCCGGAACCTGAGCCCTGAGCATCATGGCAGGGTCACCATGTAATAAAACATGCAGTGTAGATTCTACAGTGCAGATCCTTGATCATGAATCTTGACATTGACATCTTCTGCATGAGACTTGCCACTACTGCACCAGTGCTAGCTCAGGCCTCCTCGATGACCACTGAGGCAATGTGCAACATGTGCTGAGAAACAGCGGGTGTGAGAGAAGTTTGCAACAGTGGAGTCCGCCTAGGGGAGGTCTGGGGAAGTCTGCCAGAGTTTCGCGTGGCTTCTCCTTGAAGTCGGTATTCTGCAAGGGCAGAAGACTCCTCTTTTGACTGGCTAACGACCCTCCACCTTGCAGCCCTGTTGGGCTGACTAGCAGGAGTGGCAGCAGATGCCGTCGGTGCGTGCCGCCCTTGGTCTATGCACATACTGGTTTGTTGAGGCACGTCAGGATGGGCATGTTTTGGAAGACTCAGACCCCAATCCCCGATTCTGTTTGGGAGGTTCTGAAACACAGCATCATAGAATGCAAACACCTTTCCAAGGTGCAAACTACGTTCTCTTGCAGCCGCCAGAAGCCAAGTTGTTTACAGAGGGACAAGCTGCCAAGGGATTGCGGTTCGCTTGTCCAGCCAGAAGCGAGCTGACGATGAAGCGATGCTGGCACCAACGACTCTACCTTGGCTCACAACCCACGGCATGGATCAGACGATCTGAGGGCTTCTTCCAAATCACGCTTCTCTTTGATGTATTCTCCGAGCAGTAGGTGCTGATGATTATGCCAAGGATCCTAAGAGGAACCTGAACTTCACACTCCGATGGGGTCCCTCTCAACCAACGTAAACTGTTCCCTCAACCCTTATAGAACAGAACAAAGCCGTATAGAAGCCCTACTCCGCCTATCAAGGCCTCTGGGTTCCCGCTGTCTCCTGGCCTTCAGGCCTGGGCCCCCGCCCAGCCCCATCCGGCCTGACAACCAGTGGGCTGCGCGAGGCCGCCGCGGCCTTGGCCGAAGGGTGAGCTCAGACATTGCATGATATCGTATTGTCTGCATATTGTCAAATTTGTTCAGGAGCTAAGATGTGAGAAGGTTGATAGCAGTGTAATAACATGTTCTACTATATGATTATATGACTATATCATAACGTACTCTGGAGTGTTGAAGTGTGACGCTTTCATTTTAAAGCTTTCGTATCAAGCTGGAGAGCACAAAGCTCAACAAGAAATGATCGCAGCGAACTACAGGGAATGATCGCAGCAAAGGCAGCAGCGGTATGACACGTCATACCAATAGTGGGAATGATTAGCACAACGAGCGAATAGCAAGATTGATGGTTGTGATGCCGAAAGTTGGTGAGAAAGATGCGGAGGATCGCGCAAAGTCGTTTTGCATTGCTGTTCTTCCAAGGTCCCCGGCAGTAGAAAGAACTTGCAGCCAGTAGGATGCGACTTGGGGTTGAGGAGGTCTCAGGATCCGAAAGTTAGGAGAGTTTCTTCTTATCCAAAGAAATCTGAGCCTTTGGAAGTTTTTTCAAAGCTCCGTGTGGTCAAGCGGCATCTTTCCTGCATCACACCGACTCGCGGTTTTCACCCTCAGGCCTTGATGCACGAAACCTGCAGCTGGACGTTGAAGGCGAAGGCGGGGATGCAGGGCTTTGGCCCTTGACTACTCTGTACTCTTGAAGGCAAAGGCCCGTTAAGATAAGAGGCTTGGATCTAACCTTATCAAGTCCACTGATTGCCACTGGATTCCTTTTTGTGGATTTCGTCTTTTCCAGGCCGTTATAGGTGGCGTCTTCGATTTCAGATCTCATCAGAACCCCAAGCACTCAGCGGAAGGGGGCCGGTCCGCCGCATACGCGGATGCGAGCCTCGTCATCGAGGAGGGTCAGGCGCTAACCGTCTGATGAGGAGGGATCTGCCAAGAATCCTAATCTAGGGGCCTTCTTAATATTACCAATACTATCTTGGGGGCTCCTTGTTGTAACTATGGTATGAAATACCCCCAGACAATGTTCTAATTATCAAGGCTCCTGTACTAATTGTCTGAGGATTTGAGCAAGGGCCTGCGACACATCCCGCAGCAGGAACGGATTCAGCAGATTGGTGCAAGGTTTGCATTGCCGCGTTTGTAGGCAGGTACACAAGTATGTACGTACACCTGCGTCGTTGCACATTGCATCACATCCGCCGCTCCTCTTGGCGAAAATATCTCACATCTAATCCGGGGGCTCCCTAACCGTGATGTCTGGAGCAGTGTGCGAATAAAAGTAGTGCGTGCTGCCCCGAAGACTGAAGACTCCAGAGCACGTCCAACACAAAAATGAGTGGGGCCTTGTTTAAGATGACTTCCTGCTGCCTTAGCATCTTGCGTTCGACACATGCGCAGCACGAGCGCGCGATGCAGCGCTTAGACCCTGAGATGGTATGCAGCCTCTGACTGCAATGAAGGAGGAAAGTGGTTGCAAACAGACTGCTTCAAAGAGCAGTCGAGCCAGCATGCACAACTTTCCGTAGCATGCATGGCTTGGCCAATTCATAGGGAGGGCCTTGAATCAAAGACCCAAGAAAGCCAAACAACACAAACCGTATCAAAATCTTTGCGAGGTGCCTGAGCTGAAGGGCACCTGGCGTGCCGAGGATGGCTCGCGAGGCACCTTCCAGGGCCTCAAGGCAGGAGCCCCCCCCGACCTTCGGCTTTGGCCTTCGCCTTCTTCGGCTTTTTCGGCTTCCGCTCGCCTCCCGGATTTGGGCTTTGGAGCTTCTGACAGGATGCAAAGGGGAGTTTCCGACAATTAGGGGGCCCTTATTTGGGGGGCCCTTATAATAAGGGTCCTACTATTTAGGGTGCTATATTAGGACACTCTTGGTCGCAGAGCTGGGGCACATAGGCTGCCTCAGCAGAGCGACGTGACCAGCGGCGTTTTGTTAGCGCCCCACTGGCAGTTGACTAGTTGTTCTTCTCATGCGGCAGCCTGTCAAAGCCTGAAGAAAGGGCGAAAATGACCCCAGTCCGAACATAGGCAAGCACAGACTGCACTTTCAAAGCCTGTGCAGACTCAGACTTCAAGGTAAGAGCACTGCTAAACCTGCCTACATTCATAGGTGTGCCAAGCCCAGTGAAAGCCGCGGTTGCAGGTGTGCCGGGAGTCGCGTGTTGGAGGCATTTGGCGCTTTGAGCTGCAGGCCGACAGTTGCCTTCTGACCGGTTGTCGAGAAGGGAGTTTTTAGGGATTACGACGAGCATTATAGAGCTTATGAAGCTTGTTGTCTTTTTGTTGTCGTAAGATGCATCAGGATTGCCTTTTTGTCTTGTCTGTTTCGACTGAAGACAATACATGCCGTTACATGCCCAATTCGTAAGATGCAATTAAGACCTCTAAACTTCCCCGCAGCATTCAGTTACACACACAGAGGTGCTTCCATGTGTCCCTTGAGTCCCTCTTGTTTCAAGTAAGAAGATGCGGTTCACGACATACAAGCAGCACAGCATATTCAATTGTTTCAGCACTGTGGCCGAGAGCATGGAGACTTCCGGGCGCCACGCCCAGCCAATCTTGCTTTTTCGTCCGAGGCGGGAGGCGATCCCATTGAACATGCCTGGAATGCATGGTTGACGGCCCACCCGGCCAGCCACTGAGAGCATCCACGGCTTCTCGTTGGAAGATACATCGTTTTGCTTAAGATGTGTGGCGGCAACCACGACAAGATGCCACTGCTCCGTGACAGCTTGCTTTGGCACTGTTGGGCGGGTGGCCCACCAGGATTTCTGAACGGCTCATGATGATTGCTGTCCGGATTACCGGTGATATATTGATCGAGATATGGTCAACTTCCAGATCCGTCGAGGCTTGTGTGCCTGTAGCTGGCAAAAGCGATGACAAAAACTGCAGCAACAATGCAAATGGTGCTGACTAATTTAGGTTTACAGCATCAGCACAGAGACCAGCCGGATATAGCAGAGTGGAGCTGGTGGTGTCGAGGGCTGAGAGGGCTTTGAGCCGTGTGGGTGAGGTAATGATGCCAATGATGCTCGTGATGCTGGTCGTCTTCGCTATGTGGAGAGTCACTGAACAGCCGGCACTCGTATGAAGCCTCCACTTGTCGTGGGTGTTGCACGTTGCATCGATGGAGATCAGCTGTGTATTGCTTGTTTCGTTTGTGAGCGCCAGCCATGCTGGTGGTTGAGGCACTGCCTTGCATGCTTGTTTCGTTCGTGATCATGCTCATTCAGCAAATTCGGATAAATTCGGCTTCTGAGGCAGACAGCAACGGAGACGCCCGCGCTTCGCATCTTCTCAAGGTCACCGGAGCAGCTCTCGCTGCGGCCTTAGACATCCTTTGATGAAGCAGAAATGGTGCTACCGGCAGCAGCAAGCCAAGTTGAATGTGTCCGCTTACATGCCTGCACGGCCATCAGAATCACTCGTGCTAGCCCTTCTATACTCATGCAGCTCCAGCTTTCCGAGAAGTGCTTGGCCTTCGCCACTAGTTACTAGTTGCCCTTACAAATCTGTCCGAAATGCTTATTTGAGGTGTTGCTCCAATTCCATTGCACCATGTCGTCAAACTGAGCCGGTGCCGGGAGATGTGCCCTATTCCTCGACTGTTCGCCCTATATACATCTCATGCATAAACTACAAGAGGAGCCCTAATCCCCAAATCCGAAAACCCTGTAAAACCTTAATCCCAAAGCCCTACATTAGAAACCTTAAACCCTACACCCCAAAACGAAGCTTTCGGAAGGCCGGGCCAATCCTCAGTGAGAAGGAGACGGCCTCTTGCCTTGCAATCGGTCTCTAGGTGCCTAGGGTACGGTAAGGTTGAGAAGCAGCATTGGGATGACACCAAAGTAATGAGACTTGTTGGGAACTAGCAAGTAGTACTAGCATCATCACCACGAAAATTGGAAAGGCAAAGCGAACCAACTTACGTGAGAAGGCTTCGACTGCTATGCTGCTGGCAACCATCCGTCTGCCTCCTTGACATTCCGTGCAAAGGGCACCGAGGGGCTCATGTCGGAATCTGAAATCGCCGTTGCCCTCACAGCTATGTCAGTGCCGGAACGACCAGACGAAAATGCTCATCCGCGAGCCCCACTCACCCGTGCCATCCTGCATCCCCAAGCTTGTCTAGGTCCCTTCTACAGCGAGTTAGGTTCTTTAAACATTGATTTGGCTTCGGGCTTGAGATGCCGAAGCTTAACACTGTGCAGACTATGCTGTGCATATCGTGAACATAACCGAGTTGGAGAACCTCCAGAACCCACCTCTAGTCGAGAAGCAGCTCTGTGGCAACAATGCTATCACCTCCCACAGCCACAAGCCGTGACCTCCACACAAGCTTGCCCGGTCATGGTGTAAAGGAGGTACTGGACGCAGACGACAGCGACAGCGAGGTGATGAGGATGGTGATAGTTTACGGTGGTGCCGATGCTGACCATTATGAAGAAGATGATGATGATGGTGATGATGATGATGATGGCAAGAACCTCAACAACCACAATGATGATCATGATGCTGCTGATGTTGATGACAGTGGTTCTGGCAGCACTGTGCTGACACCGATGCTGACGAAGGTGACGATGGGGACGATACTGGCATTGGTGAGGATTGCTACTATTGTTCGGACATCATCGTTCCTAGTATGGCAACCATGACGGAATCCCGAAAGCTTCAGGTTCAGAGTCATCCTGTCCTTGCGGGGGAGTACAACTCTCTGACCCGGTGCTCTCGGCTTCTTTTGGGATGGCTTTGGATGCCTCGCGTCGTTGAGCCATGCGGGCTTAGTGTGGTTTAGTTAGATTTTGTCACTTTGGGAATCCAATTGATTCGGTTCTAGATGGCCTATGCCCAAGCCTAGAACAAAACTTTGGTGTTTTGGCAGAGTTCGAGCTCCAGGGCCCCTATAAGACAACTACGGCGTACTACAGCAGTCCATGATTTAAGAGCTCGTCCCTGGAGGCTTGTGGGTTCGACAGGGAGTTATGCAACAGACGCAAAATGTCGCGACAACAGCATACGGATGTATAGCTTCTGTCATAGATGGCTGACGTCGATACCGCAGTCACAAGTAACTGCCAGTATCATTAGGTCCTTTCTGCCCCTAGGCTTCAGCTACGAACGAACGTACTCAAACCTTGGTAGGCGCAGGTCCCCGATTCTAAAGGATCGAGAAGCTTTAAAACAGAATCCTCGCATGGGAACGGGCCTGAATGCTTGATAGCATTATTCTTTGGCAAGGGTTCCCTGATGTGCTAGTACATGTCTATCACATCCCCACAACAAAAGCAGAATTCAACCTAAGTTGACTGTCTCCCTGGCGTATCTGCTTTCCACAGGTCGCTGAAGCTAACCATGACGACAGAAGGCCTGGATCCTGACATCTTTGGCTCCGTGTCCGGGTTTGCTTCAAGGGGGCGCCAGGCCCCACGAACGCGAAAGTCCATCAAAGCTCGAGGCCCCACAACCCCCGCAGCCTTCGGGGAGCGAGAGAGTGAGAGAGATCTGCGACCCATCCCTCAGGAGAGAAGTGGAATGGTGCTGTCTTCGAGGCTGAGCTTGGCCGGGTGCCTCAGAGTCATAAGGATATCAGGGTTTAGTTGGGTGTTCAGGGGTGCAAGATGTCGGGCGTGGAATTCAGGATTTGCGCTGAGGGGTACTAAGCGCTCTACCCACGGTGGCTTTGAAATCACGCGGAAAACCTTGATCCCCCCGCCGGTTCACCCAATTCAGGTGTGCAGTCACGCTTGAGCCGAGCAGGCATGTGTTTCTGAGAGCTTTACAGTGCAGTGCTTTGCGGTGAAGGAACCGATGGAGCATTGCGTGGAACCTGGGTGCGATCTGCCCAGCTGCTTGGCCCAAGAAGCTTGCGACAGGGCTCAAGCTCAAGTCATGGACAAGTACCAGCAGTCGTAGAAAAGCAGCTTCCAGGCAGTTTCAATCGATACTCGACTTATTTCGCCTTCGAAGGACCTCAAAGGCATCTCATGGTGGTGGGAAGATGAGATTCGACCACATATCTAGTTTGCGTAACAGTATGTGTACTTACAAGCAGAAGCGTCTTCCATGTGTTGTCAGAAATCAGCGCTACCCTCTGAAGAGTCTGGGTGTTCAAGCTTTCCTCTGGTTGTATTGCTCTGTGTGCATGTGTGTAAACAGTTCGACTTGTGCTGGCGAGGCTCCAGTTAAACGGTTAAACCGCGAGAATCCAGGAAGCTTGGGATGGTGTCCTTCTTCATGTCTGCCTTGGTGTCCAGGATGAGCAGAGTCGTGACTGCTCTTGCATTTGCCGCGACAGATTCTGTCATTCATCTTGCAGTCTGGATGATCCGAAGTTGCACTTCACTACCTCCGTGCTATAAGGAGCCAGACGCATCCCCAGCCCACGGCGTGGTTGCAAACCTCTGGGCTGACATTGTTTTCCATGACATACGTCTTGTTTGTGCTCGAAGTCTGTTGCCCACTCATCGATCGACATCCTAGCCTTGAAACTATGACACCTGGCTCCCGTACTGTGTTTCCCGGTGTGCCGTTTCAAACAGAGACACCCTTTGCTTTCACTACTCACTACTGCTCCTGTTGCAGTGATTACATGCTGAACACGTCTCATTGTGTCGGGTTCCAAGCAACTTCACTCAAACATCAGATGTCCTCGTGTTCGTCATTCTCCGTATCGTGGATCGTGCGACTCTGTCCTTCAGCAAAATCTGCTTGTCATTTCCGACAATGGCTATAAATTGTAAGTGGATTACATGTCGGTTCGATGAATAGAGCTCCTGTATATCGGTTGGTTCATTACGAGCCGCGTCCGAAATCGTGATGCTCGTAGCCGCACACGTCGTTTCCTCCAACGGCCCAGCAGGGATTGAAATCCAACGAAGGTCAGGGCGATGGATCGCCCGCCACATCGGAAAGAAGAACACCCAGAGCTGCTTCAAGCTTGCTCCTCAGATGGACATCAATGCCAATCTCATGACGGACTGAGCACCAGAGGCACGAATTGGGCATTGGTTGGGAGACGAGAGGACCCCAAAACAGACTCTAAAACTGGGTACTGCTGCTCCCTTCTTTGGAACTGTGCACCGAGAGAGTATTTCGTGCATACCCAGTCAGTATTCTGACTGTTGACAGGTGTTAAATAGTAAAGGTACAAAGCAGACCCCAGCACGCGTGCACATGTATGCATACGTCAGAGGGCACACGCGCACATGCATGCGTGAATGCATGCATGCATATACATCAAAACTACAACTAGCTTATAGTTTGTTATCTGCCATAGACATGATTCGAACTGCCTCTGCAGTCGACGGTCCGAGGCCTCAGGTCGACGAGGGTGGCAAATGGGACGCGAAAGCCTGTGTGGTGGCGGCCTCGAGCCCAAATCATTTAAAGCCGACCTCCGGAACCCTTAGCCCCAACTTGAATGCAGGAAGACGAGTCAAGAACAAATCCTGAGCCCCGAAGCCTCAATCCTAACGCTCGGAAGGATTGACGCGTCTCAGGTCTTGGGGCCAGATCTTGAGCTCGCTAGTTTGTGCGACTTCTTTCACCGTTAATCTGGTGGTCAGGTTTTCAAGAATCAGGTATACCACGTGCAAGTTCAGAGTTTCAGGCTGGAAATTCAGTTGACTTGGGAAATGTGAAGAGCACGAGCCTGATTCCTTATAATTATTGTGGAGCACACGGCTTAGGCTGAAGAAATGGTCGTTCCTGCGCAGCGGAGGGCTTATTATCATTCTTAGTATGATGGTTATTCTTATTCCTATCCTTCTTAGTAGCATTCTTGTTTCTGGTATGCATGGCAAACTGCAGGTCAAGACCAACCTCCAAATGCCGGGGCCTTGAGAGGCATATGCCAGGCAGGATACGGCCGCGGGTAATCAAGGATAGGAGCCCAAAACAGCCATGTAGTACCAATGAATCGTCGAATGTTAGAGGTTAGTCCTCACACAAGATCTGCAACTTCCGGGTCGTCGAACTTCAGCGCCTATCTAGGCAACCTCAACCATCGACTGCAGAAGCTGTAGAACCTCAATCTCCAAAGCTCGGTATGTGCAGTCCTTCGCGGCAACATCTTCTAGAGATTCTAGGGTCGAATGCTTGGAAATATTGTGCCCCCTTCGAATTCTAGTCCCGACAGCTATCTCCTCCCCATCCCCCATTTTAATATTCAAGGCCCCTATAGCCTCTATCCTTACGCCCAGCGCAGAAGAAGAAGAAGAAGGCCCCCATATTCTCCTGTATGGGTGCTGCAGCTTTCCACCAAGGATCAGCGCTCGGCCGCAGCCTGGGGACAAGGTCAAGCTTTCGAAGGCTCCTGAAGCATCACCTGCAAAGGTGTATAGGTTTTATAGAGTTTAAGGTGCACAGGGTTTGGGGTTTGGGGTTTAAGGGTACATGCAAGGCTCTAGATGGGGGTTTGTGGGAGTTTGCGGAGTGCTCGGCGAGCCAATTCTAGCCTTTCCCATCCTCGTGCTTTGGAGAATTTGTACACCCCGACTATATGGAGAACTCAGGCACAGAAACAGTCAGCTCGAGATGTATCATGGTGTGATTTGCGTCTCCACTTTGGACCTTAATCTTGGAAGCATAAATCGCTGTTTTCACACCGGCCTGACGTGCCCTGACGGGCAACTGACGACGTCTACAGCAGGTAGGGTGTGTCAACAAAGAGTGCGCTCTCGCATTGATGTGTTCTTAGATTCTACCGTCTTCGTTTGCACGCGCTTCTCGCACGCTCCTGCTCTCATCGCTTCGAGCAGGCTTACAAGCAGTTCGATGGGGAAGACGGCTGCCTGAAGCCAGGTTCCGCCCTCAGCTTCGGCCTTCGACAAGATTTCTGGGATTAAGGGTCGGGGTTCAACTGGGACTCAGTTGGCAGGGCTCGTTGTCCACATTTACATGTACTGGGTGGGGTGTGGTGTGGAAGTACTGAGGGCTGTTTGGGGCGGCAGCTGAAACCGGTAAGTCTCGCCATCATCCTGCACCGGAGAGCCTAAACCCCATACCCCGAGCCTCAAACCCTGAAAGTGCTACATTGAAGTCTCTTGTCGAAGCCCTGCTTGTTGAAGAGTTCCCGGTCGAGAAGTCACCCTAGCCAAAGGTGATGAGCAAGCTCGCAACACATGAATTTCACCCTGTGCCACTGCCGCTACCACGAAAGCCTCAGCAGCTGCACCAAGAGCAAAAACACCGGCAGCAGCACCGGCAACAATAACAAGTTTCACAAGTATACATCTCGTAAACAGGCCAAGTGGGCACCCTTGTGGAAGATGACCGCCTGGATCTTGGCGCTGTGTTATGAGTTCGTCACCCCAGCCACGACTCGTAGGCGATGAGTGTTTAGACATTTGACACATGACTGCAATTCCTGGGACGACCGGCTCGTTCCTGGCTGAAACGACGCTTTGTGTTTTGCAACTCCTGCACGGTCCGAAAGGTGGTGCTCTGCTCAGGCCGTATGATCTTTAGGTGTACATCGAGGCTCCTTAAGCATCCCGGGCTGGGCACCAAGCCCTGGAAGTCAGTCAGAAACACGAACTCGCCAAGGGACCAGTTGTCCATTCCTCGTGGAGGGCCCCAACGGCTGCACACACTGGTACAACGACGGCGCAATCATCGCCGCTTGCTTGCAGGATGCCTTTCGAATGTGGTGTAGTGTACATTCAAGGAGCACTGCAGCGTTGTACCAGCTGCGGCTCGGCAGATCTTTCTGCTGCAAGCGCCCGGCCGACAGAATTATTGGCGCGGTCTGACGGAAGGTTGTGAACAAAGACGACAAGGAGCTCCTCACCCCCCTTGGTGACATGCGCTGGCCTCGGTGCTCCCTCGACTACTTGTGCTGCTACTGAGGTGGAACAAAGTCTGTAAACTGGGTCTCTTAAACACGCAGGGCTGAAAAAGTGATTTGTTTATTTAAACTCACCAGCAGGATTTTCCAAACACAAGATCTTCCACTCCGGATCCATCCGGTTCCGACTCTGACTCAAAGAGGCGCCAAAGCACCTCGAAAAGCAGACCTCCCGAATGCCAAAGATCCGAGGTTCGAGGGGGTCGCCATGTTGCGCTTCCCCGTGCGCCAGGGGCCTGGCCCGGCTGAAGGACACCGGCTGATGGTAGCCCTTGCGGCAACCCCTAGAGTCTTAAAGTAGTACCTCTTTGCAACTTGTCGCTTATAGTGAGTAGTATACGACCCTTATATATGTGGTAGCCTTATAGTATGATTGGTAAGCGACAGGGCCGCAAGTCAGTGTCTTGAGATTTCGCTCCAGATATCTAAAGCTGCGTAATGGCGTAATATAGGGATCCGGAATAAACAGTAATATTGCAGAAAAGTACGCTGTCTATAATATTACCCCTTTACAGTCCTTGTTCTATATTAAGACTTACTATGGGCGTGTGCTGCGAGAAGCCGCCAGTACCTCAGGTGAGGGCACCTGGTACGCTGAGCTGGAGGTGAGTAAGCTTGGAAAGTCAGAACCTCAGTCTTGGAGTCGCGATTCGGGTGTTCAGGTTGAACAGCCTTCGATTTCCAGGTTGAACCGGGCTTTCATTCGTGCAGGGGATGTCAGTGTAGTGGGTGACTTTCCAGGAAAGATGTAACGGAAGGCCAAACGCGCAGCAACTGTAGCCTGCGCACCTTCGTAGAAAGATGATCCGCATGGAGGACCGTTCCGAGGGATGATGTTTGGAGTTTTTCGGCTGAAGCTTTCGGCCAAATTGCCAAAGCTCAAGCAGCACTGCCGTGTCTCAGGTCGCAGCCGTGCGTTGGATGGGGCCTTCAGCCGGCCGGCTGAGCCAAGTGAGATTTCAGGGCCGCAGTGTCTAAACCCGGGGCTTACATCAGGGATTCGGAGCAAAGAACGTAGCAGATCTCGGACTGCAAGCCACATAAGTCATAAGCCTGAGGACCCTCAAGCTCCGATGTCTTTGGGCCGGATCCCTTTCCTCGGGCCTCAAAGCAACACGGCGAGTCTCAAAGCAAAACCCGCAATTCCATAGCCATCATCAGTCCAAATCATGTCAAAGGTGCTCGGCCCGAAACGTCTAGATTACCATAAATCTTGACTCAGGAAGACTGGCTCCCCGAAGATCGTGCGCTTGATGGCGATCGGGGGCAAGAGTGCTGCCATTGAAACGCATTTGGAATCAATACCCCGCTTTGTAGAGTACTGACGACTACGAGGACGTTTGGAGCAGAGAACGATCATCATGAATGGGCATGCCACTGTTTCGGTGGCCATCTTTTGCACCTGTTGATTGTCATCCCTCAAGTGTTGTTTTAACGGCGATAATGATGACAGGGATGGTGATTGGCGACGGATTATGTTCACATAAGCGATTGCCCTGACGGTGACTATATAGCTTCCATGCGTAGACGTAGACCAACGAAATGCACCAAGCACTTTCCAGGGTTGATGGTCGAAGACGCATGCAACCTTCATATGTAATTACCTTGTGTCAGTAGAGACTCAAATACTCGTTCATTGCATACAAGGACCGCTGCTATGTTCAGCATTCGCTACCAGCCGCGCAACAGAGGAGAACTGAAAGAGTTGCCAATACAAAAATTCTACACGTTTAGTGCATTGGTGCATCAAGACAACGACGATATCGCTAAATTCACGGCCCCAAACCCTATTGAGCCCCAGACAAGTCGAGGTAAAGCTGGACCTGGGCCGCTTGCCAGCAGATTGGCAATGGGTGACATTTGCGACTGCCAGCCTGAGAGGGGTTCTTTGCGACCCTGAGCCTGCCCGATTTGAAAGCCCCGTTGAAGACGCTAGAGCGCTGAAGCCTGCAAACCGAACTGCTTCGTCCCGTGCAGGAGAAGGAGCCCCTCCAAGAAAGAAGAGCAAGAAGAAGTCGGACAAGGCCTTGCTTTCGGGTTTGCCTCACGGAACGCCTGGAGACGTTTGTTCTCTCAGCATGCGCTTTCGTTGCCCGACCCGGAGCCCAAGAAGGGCCCTATGCAGCATCTCCAGGACGAAGAGGATGGGGCGGATGAGGCCGGGTTTCGGTTTCTTGCCTTTGGAACCTGGGCCCAAGGACCTCAAACCCTGAACTTACCCCCCCCCACCAACTCCTATGACATGTAGAAGCCCAAACCCTGCCACAGGCCACGGCCCTCAAACTCCAAAGTGTCAATTTTCCCAGTTGCTGTTTGGGCCAGGGTACGGTTTGTGTTTAAGCGGTTGCTTGGGGCTTTGGAGTTGAACAGCGTATGGTTTGCAGCTTCAGGCAAGATCCCATCTAACAAATCCCAAGACATTGTGCCCGCCCGGCAAACCTTTGCATTGTAATCAGGTGGAGTGTCCTTGCAAGAAAAGTGTGCGACATTCTTGGGCTCAAAGCTGCACATCCATGCGCGGCTGCACGCTTCGCACTTTACAGTCCTAAATGTAGTCAATGTAGTCATTGAAACTGCCAGTCGACGACTTGGCCCCGAAGTCCTGGATCGCACTGTTACATCATGATACCGTAGTAACAGCTTCAAACTCTACCCGAAAGCAAGCCGTCGGCTACAAGCTGGTTTATGTGTGATGAAATGCTGGCACTGGCCTCTCTTGGTGGGGTGTTGGATTTGCCGAGCATCCGTCGCAGATGTCCTTCAGAAGGCCGGCCGCAACACTGAAATCACTGTTTTAGAATGGTGGCTCACCATTCTACCATTCTGAGTTGGAAGAGCCCCGACTTGGAACACCTTGGGACAGGTAGATGCGCTATAGTATAATAATGGCCCACAAAACCACATTCCAATTATTAAGGCCCCTATCTTAGACCCTGGCCTTGGAGCCTCGGGAGGCTGAGAGGCTCCTCGAGGATCTCGTGCGACCTGGGGCCGGGGATGCAAAAGAAGGCATGCGCCGTTTGGATCCGTTTGGCATATTTTGGCATGTCGGATCCTCTCTGCTGTGGTCGACGTCGTCGTCGATCTGAAAGAAGATGCAGTGGCCGTCGTCTTCGTCCCACGCGGCAGTCGCAGCCGTAGTCATAGTTGCAGTCGAAGTCGTCGTGGAATTCGAAGGAGGAAGCAAGGATGATTACTATAGCATCCATGGCACTGGCCATGGCACCATTTCTGGTATCGTTTCGCATAGAAGTCGGCGGGTAGTGATTGGAAAAGCAAGCATCTTAAACATTCACTGACATCTAGTTTCTCCACGGTCAAGCAGAGAGTGTTTGCCAATCTGAGGCCATGACTTTGCATCCTTGAAGCATGCGACTTGGCTTCCTTTATTCTGGATTCTGGACCAAGCTTTACAGTAGGTCCCTCTACCAGGATCATCTTCGTCGTTATTCTGACGCGTGACCAACATAAATCCGCAACAGTTCGCCTGTTCTTTTCCTAGAAACTGCAGTTCCGTCCAACCCCGAGGCCCGAAAGCTTCAGCCATGGAAGGCCCCAAGCTTTCACTGCCGCTGCTTAATGCTGCCTACTTTTACGTTCATCGACTCGTACTAAATCAACTAAAGCTGCTTGGCCTTAGGCACGAGAATAGCTTTGACTCTCCCTTCTTCAGCTTCGTTGCCCAGGACTTGGAGGCTTCCGGCTTGCATGGCTACCTGGCCATGCTCCACTTCTTTGGGGTGCCAGATTCGCAGGGGAATTTGCAGCTGCCAGGAGGTGGCTTGACTGCGGCGAGTTGCTCTCTCTCTCTCTCTCTCTCTCTCTGGGGTTGAAGATCGCCGAGAGTGCTCACCGCTTTCGGCGAGGCAGTTTCGAAAAAGAAAGGGTAAGTTGATGGCCAATGCGCCTCGCCTTTGTCCAAATCTGTGAACAGTTTGCACTACCATTAGCCATGCGATCAAGCGATATGAGCTAAAGGTAGAAAGCCTGGGCCTGAACCTCTTATAGCAGTAGTACCAGTATTCAATGATACATTAATAGAAGCATTTTGAAAACGTGGTACACTCTATGCTCCCAGACTCAACCGGCTTTCTAAATCTTCAAACTGTTCAGCTTGACTCTTGCTTCGAGGCTTCCCGCGTGATGCATCCATGGCCCGGACACATCTTGCCAAGGCCCTGTCGTTTCGAAGGGGCCATCAGGACATGGGCTTGCGACAACGGGGCAAGCATGAAGCAGTGAAGCAAGACTGGATGCTTTTACCTTAGGCTTCAGTGAGAGCAGGTGTTTGCAGCATTGCTTTCTGGGATTGAAGGGGAGGCGGTGTCTTTGGATCCTGTAAGCACTATAGTCACTACAGCCCCTGATTTCAACCTCAACCTGCACCAGCGGCCTACTCAGCGCGCCTGAATTAGTACTACTTGCACCACTGCACAGCCCCAATCGCGAAACGGAGGTTTCTCATCCACCCCTTGAAGCCACATACGAAGAGGCCCTCCCAAAGGCACCCTTCTCCGAAATCCTCCCAAGTACGTCGACGAAGCTCTGGAGGATCCCTGGACCTTTACACTACTCGGGCTCCTGCTGTCGGTAGCCAGCCCGGAGGTGGGGTAAAACGAAGACTCTCGAAGTTCGAGAGTTTTGGGTTTTAGGTTCAAGGGATGGGGTTTCGGACATAAGATCTGTTATGTGGATGTTAAGGTGTAGGGCTTCGTTTTGCTTCGGACTTTTGACTTTAGAGGAAGTTCGCGGACTTTCCGGCTCTCCATAGAGCCTTTGAGATGAGCTGCTGGTTGTTGGGCTCATGTCTAGCAGAAAGACATGGGCGTCGATCTTTAAGGCGACCTAGAAGAAGAACATTCCCAAGCCTCAGGTGGCTGACCTGGAGCTTCAAGTGGTGGCGGGACCCGAGGTGGTGGTGACGAACCCGGAAGCCCTCCTCTCAGAGCCCAGGAAAGAGGTGGTGAAGCCAAGGCAAGGAATTGTCAAGAAAGAGGCGGGCCACTCTGTCGAAACGAAGACGCATGAGAGGTCGTCCTAGCAACGGTGCCACGCGGTTCCCTGACGCGCCCGCCAGGTCTTCGATCACGTCGGGGCTGCATTCTGGGAGGCAGCAGAGCGCAAAGAGCCTCTGGGCAGCGTGGTGTTTGCTTCTCTTGTTCGCCGTGGACTGACCGATGTCCCTCTCTCGTGGACACGGCCACAAGCGGATGTACGCGACAAGTCACTGCTGCAACGCATCCCGGACCTCCATGGAGGCAAGGTGGATGCTGTATCCTCTGAGAGGGCCTGCCGCGCACTTGGCACTCTGGTGACCCCGGCTAGGGATGCTTCGACAAACGAGGAGCCGTTGCTGGACAAGGCTGCTCTGACGTGGAAGGTGTGGCGGCACCGGGAGCGGCGCATACCCAGCGACGAGGACTGGCAGCAGAGCAAGGAGTACGTTGATGCGGTGAAGCATGGAGCTGAGGTGATGCAGCAGCCTCACAGCATGCGAGAGATGGCAGCCTTACACTTCCAGGGCCACACGGAAGCGAAGTTGGCTCAGAACAAGACACGAGCAGAAGGCTACTGGACCCGAGCCGCCAAGGAGGGTGATGTGTGGTCAGCCTGGCATGCAGCGCTCAGTTACCTCCGCGATGGCAAGGTTGAGATGGCCGCCCCTTTCCTAGATATGGTGGGCAACTCCTCTGCAGCGCCCTTGGCTTTCATGGCGCTCCACTTCAAGTTCCGACTGGGCATCGGCCAGAACAAGGATCCGCCTCAGGCAGGGCAGTTTCTCAAGGCAGCCGCAGATTTCGGGAACTCCAACGCACAGCTGATCCTGGCACACACCTACATGGGCTACTCCCACGGAAACATGGAGGGAGTGTACCCTCCAGGCGGCCCAGACAAGGCTGCGGCCCTGGTATACTACAAGCTGGCTGCTGCAAATGGCCGCCTCGTGCCCAAACTCAATGCAGGCTTGTTGATTGCCCAGGGAGCAGATCCTTTCATTCCCGACAGGAACATTCAATGTGCAGTCGCATATCGCGAGCTGGCTGAGGTGATCCACGCAGCTCATCCCAGCGCACACTTGCTGTTTGCCCATGCTCGTCGTGCTTACGTTCAGGGAGACGTCCTCGGTGCCCGGCTGCGTTTTGCCCTCCTCAGCGACGCTGGATTTGTGATGGCACATTTGAACGTGGCATGGCTTTGGGATCAGAATTCTCGCAAACACGCATCGTTTTGGGGACGATGGAGTCAAAGCCACGTCTCGTCGCTGGCTTCACTTGCTGCCCTGGCCTACTATCGGCGTGCCGCAGCCGCAGGCCATGTGCCATCCATGACCGAGCTGTCAGTCCGGTTGCTGAAGCAGGCCGATCTGCTTCTTGCGCCCGCGATGGAAGACAAAAACACGGCAGCCGGTGCAGCAGGGCTCCAGGCAGAAGCATTTCGCTGGACGGCCCTGGCTGCAGAGCGGGGCGATGCGCGTGCGATTTTCGACCAAGCGTATCTGCTTCAGTTCGGCATCGGCGCGCGCCAGGACCAGGAGCTTTCGCAGAAGCTTTACGGCAAGCTGTTGGGAGGGAGCAGTGGCTGGCCAGCGCGGGTAGCGGCGTTGAGCTGGCTGGGGCTCTCCGCTGCCCGTAGCTATTTCCTGCGAGTTTGGGACGGTTTTCGGAGCCTTTTAGAGTCCCTTGCAGAGGCATGGCCGGAGGTCTCAGATTTAGGGGACGGTGATCGCCACCCAACGCGGGAACGGGAAAGTCGTTCAGAAAGCTCCTGGTCAGTCTCTCAGCGTTTGGAGGCTTGCAGTTTGCACTCCGGAGGCGGCTTGGATGCAGGCGCCAAAACCAGCAGAGTGTCCTTTTGTCTCAGTAGGCATGTCACGTAACGGACCGGATTAAGATGACTAGGTGTGTACGGTTTTAACTAGTTTTAACAGCTCGCCTGCACTCCCAACACCCACCACGATGCCCACAGCTTGTATTCAGTGTTCCACCACGATGCGCACTCCTGCGAGGTTACGTTGCCTCCGGTCGCCTCGTGTTCTGGAGATGTACTGTAGGGGCGACATAGACGGTCAGCAGCAGCTCAGCCATCGACTTCCTTCCAAAGTGGGTTGCAGGCCTGCCGGCAAGCAGCCCCGATCTTGGCTGGAGAAGTGCGACGTACTTGGCCATTGGAAGTCGGAAGATCATCGGCTTGAGATGGACTCAACTGTGGACCTGGTAAGTGCAGCTGGCCAGCCCGGCATTCCAGGCGCTTGTGCCAGATCTGCTGGCTTCTGGAGTTCACCGGCAGGTATGCAACTTCGAGCAGCTTTGATCTTCCAGTTACTGAGTACTCATCGTGACCCCACCGAACAGCCACCATGCAAGAGAGCTGGCCACAACAGGGCGGATCAAAAAGTGATGCAAAACTAGTTGCGAACCTATTGGAAGAGCTGACGGGCAGGCATGCTCGCGACTTGATGTGCTGTAGGAAGCTCCGGCCAGGAGAAGAAAGAGGGCGAGGAAGGCGATGGGGCCCAAGAGGGTGAAGGTGAGGGGGACGCCGAGAAGGCAGAGAAGGTGGAAGGAGAGGAGGAAGCTGAGGAAGCCGAGCAGGAAGCGGCTGCAGAGGGCGATGGCGAGGAGGCGCTTTGGCAGCGTTTGGCCATCTACGGGAGGGCTGCTGGATGGGGCTTGCACGGATGGGCAGATGGTTCATGGCGGTTCGGTTCCGGTTTGCGGTTTGGTTCATGGTCTTCCTGTTTAAAGGCACTCACCACTAGATGCTTTGCGCCAGGACGAGAACGGAGACGGAGATGCCGAAGAGGGCGAAGGAGACGCAGAGGAAGCAAAGGAAGAGAAGCCAGGCGAGGAGGACGGCGAAGAGAAGGCCGGGAGCTTGGAGCGGAGAGACACTTGACTTTTTCGGAGTTGCTAGCAGCCTCTTGCACCGTTTGCACCAGACCGTCCGTGTTTATAGGCCGACGGAGAAGAGGGAGAGGATGAAGGTGAGAAGGACGACGAAGGCGAAGCCTCCTTTGCAAAGCAGTGGTAGCATGCTCACTTTCTGCTTCTTGGGAGTTTCGGCATGCCTGGCCCAGGCGAAGACGGCGGGGAGGACCTTCCTGTCCATACCACTCCAGGTTTTGATTGATTGGATCGCACAAGCTCGAGAAGACAAGAGGCCGTTGGTTGCCCAGAACCCCGCATCACTGCAAGGATGATAAGGACGAAGAGGAAGAGTTCAGTGAGGAGGGTCAGTGGAAATACGGTGAGTCTGGGGCCCAGAAATGTGCAGTTGATGTAAGTAAGCCCCTAGCACACCGCGGCAGCAAACCTGGTAGCGGTCCTGGACCCAACCCAGCTTGAGAGCAGAGGTCCTTCGGCGCTGCCTGGAAGGAGGGCGATGTCATCGGAGTCCTCTTTGATGCCAAGGTCAGTTTAATACACCGGCAGGGATAGTGAATGACGAAGAAAGCGACGTCAGAAGACGACAAAGCGCTCTCTCCCTGTCTCTCTCTCTCTCTCTCTCTCTCTCTCTCTCTCTCTCTCTCTCTCTCTCTCTCTCTCTCTCTCTCTCTCTCTCTCTCTCTCTCTCTCTCTCTCTCTCTCTCTCGTGTTTGATCTTTTTCTTTTTCTTCTGCTCACAGCTTGCATGGCCTCACCTCGATTTCTCCGTCCGTGGACCTCTGTCAGTGGTGATCAGAGCAGCCATACTGGTGCGGAGCTGCTGAGGCTTCACTAGGGTCCTTCATTAGTCCTTCTGTTGTGTCAAGTTCTGTTTTTCGGATGGATGATGCCTGCACTGTCGTACTCACCATCACGTCTGTTGACCTTTTGGAGAAGATGACAGGTGACACCTTTCGGGGCTTCTGTATGCAAAGCTCTGTCCAAGCCTCATGCAATTAGACACCTGAAACCCCAAAAGCATGACCCCGGAAGACAGGATGGAACTGTCAACCTCTCCTTCTCCCTGAACGGATCCTTGGCCGCGCCGATGGGGCAGGCACACCTCCAGAGCTGCATTATCCATGTCAATACAACACGGCTTCAAAACTGACTCCGTGCTTGTTGGCCTACTTCGTGAAGCGGCTTTGATCGTGTGGGCTTTGCCTTGGCCGGTGTGTGAGGTCGAGGTCGCGGAATTGAAAGGAGGGTCAAGATCTGCATTTACACGTCATTACCTACCTTGGCTGGTAGGAGCAGTTGCTAGGGCTACTATCGCATGTGCTACAGAGGCGCTGATACAGAAGTATGCATTGCATGTTCGTGAGAGTCTGGGCAAGTGAACCTTATCACACCAGTGCCTATGACGACGAAAGTGGATAATGGTGAATAGCCCGACGCGACATGAAGCAGTTTTACTGCTACTGTTACTAGTATTCATCGATTATCATTATGGGTTCATCGTCATTAGACTCAGCATCATTAATAGTCCTGTTGATCGTTGGCAGTATAGTTGTTGTTATAGAGTGTTGTCAAGAAGCTGCTGTTACTATTGGTATCATTATTCTTGTTCTTCTTCACTATAGTGAGTCCTGTTACCATCACTACTGTTAGTACCTCGTGATTTCCTTATTCATGAACAGTTAGCATTCGGAAGCGTTTATTGTTTCTGCGACTACTCTGACCAGTTTTTGTGGTAGTACTGTCTGTACTTATGTCGATTCGTTACTATAGATTCTGTGTTGTTCGATCGACTGGTGCCCCTGGCCGTTCGTTCCAGGCCTTTACCATCGACCTAGCAGAGGAGCGAGCTGACATAGCGGTGGAGTGCGGTTTGTTTCCTTTTGTCCCTGGATTTAGCAAAGTATATGCATACACACACAGATATATATATATATACACACACATATACATACACATACAGACCGTGTGTGTGTGGGTGTATATGTATACACATACGTCTGTATGTATACCTATATCTATATCTATGTAGATGTGTATATAATATATATGCGAATATATTCATTTGGGCACAGCAGGTTTTACATATACTCGTCGGTGTCGTTGCCTGTTCCTTCTCCAGCGTGGTTCTTCTCACACAGTGGTCGGTCCTTATTGTGCAGCTATGCCCCTGAAACGGACTGCCAGACTGAAAGACCACCACGAAGGTTTCAGAACATGTTGGCGAGGACATGACACTGGCCATGGTGTTGGCTTCAGGCGATGAAGGCGCGACATCCGAAGACCTGTCGTTGAAAGCTAATCCGTGTAGTCTTTTTCCCTTTCTTTCAACGTTTGCGGCTATTGCGTCCAAATTTCGAAGTAAGCAGCCGACTCACGGCAGCAAGGGGCCTTCATGGAATCCAGCTGATGAGACAGGGATGGATACCATATGATAGGTCTTGTTTAGCAGATTGTGCAATCGCTTCGGGATTCTGTCGCTTCCCTGATGAATCATGGTTCATCTGTGCAGAAGTCGTCGAACGCAAGTGTGTGGGTCTTGTGGCTACCAATCCTCAGAGTGGCCCCCAAACACTCAACCATTTCAAATCCCGAAAGGAGCACTTGCATTGCCGGGCAGGAGAGATCAACGTGAACTTAGGGCAGCGGCTCTTTCAGACATGCCCATCGGTGGAAGCTCGACAGCCCTTTTGGGGTTGAGGGCGGGAGGGAGTGTCACAGGTCGGGGCAATAGGGCTGCTCGGGCTTGGCTCGACTTGAGGGGTTTAGGCCATAGAACATCATCATCATCATCAGCACCAGCATCCTCATCATCCTCGTCATCATCATCGCAGCGATGGCACACCGACACTACAAGTAGCAACAGTAGTTGCGAGATTGGTGGCAATCATCCGGTAAAACTGCATTTCGTGGCTTGAGGGCTAAAGTTGTGAAGATTCTCGTCAACCCTCATTTGGGACAATCAGAGTCCTAGTTGGGCTGCTCCGATGGTTTAGTGGACGCCGTCTTCAGAGTTACTACTAGAGCAAAACTATAGACAAAACACTAAGGAGCGGGAGGAGGAGCCGCGAGCTGTGCGTGGTCTTGGCGAGGCCTGCCTGGACTATGTCACAGATTCCTGTGATCAAAGCCTCATCCTTCCTCTTTCGGGTTATGTGACTACTGCTCATACTGGTTGTCGGCAATGCCTAATCAAATTACGAGGTTCGCCGGGGTTTGATGGTAACGATGCTGATGATGAGGAGGAGGAAGTTGAAGATATGGACGGTGATTACGACGGTGACTCTGTAGTTTTCGCATTCGGGAGGGCTGCGCGATCCTCCACCCCTCCGGGTTGAGGTGTGTAGGATGTATAGCTTTAAGTCCGGAGCTTTGGCTCATACGCACTTCAAAAGGCCCTTAGTTGACAGACTTGCGAGGCGATGCGCATGCGGCCAGCGTGGAAAGTCCAGCTGCCCAAAGGCGTCAAGGCCAGGGGAGGATTCAGTCATTAAGCGAAGCAATGCTGAGTGCATTCAACCGCGGGTTCAGGGTTTAGCTAGGGGGAGGACCAGCAACAATACGTAATAGCAATAACGAGAAGAACAGCAATCAAATGTGACGGCCAAGCTAGCAACTTCAGTGTGTGATGGCAGATCAGCGGCAGTAGTGGTGAGAACTACCAGGGCTCTTGCCAAAACAGGGTGGCTTCACGACGATCTAAACCTAACACAGTCTAAGAAAGCCCATCTAAGCCTTCTACGCCCTGAACCTTAGCTCTGGGTTGAGGGGGGGTGTGGTGTAAACTGTATCAAGCCCTCATAAACCCCCGCAAATCCCCGTGAGGCACTGATCATTTTCGGGCCCCCCTAAACCCTAAACCCCTAAACCCTTAAACCCTTAAACTCCTAAATCCTAAACCCCAAACCCCTAAACCCTAAGCCGTTCGGGCCCCTTTCTGTCAACACCTTTCGGACGCAGAGGCCTGGCCTGTCTTCGAAGAGCCTTCGCGCACCTCCAAGGGCCGAAAGCCGCTGGAGGCCGGTCTTGGGGCTTCGGGCCCTTTAGGGTTTAGGGTTTATAAGGTTTAAGGCTCAAGGTTTAGGGTTTAAGGCTAAAGGTTTAGGGTTTAAGGCTCAAGGTTTAGGGTTTAAGGCTCAAGGTTTGGGGTTTAAGGCTCAAGGTTTAGGGTTTAAGGCCTAAGGTTTATAGGGTTTAAGGCTCAAGGTTTGGGGTTCAAGGTTTAGGGGTTTAAGGTTTTAGGGGGCATCTGGCTTGCTTGGTCTAGGCTCTCGGTTCAGGGCACAGGGTTTGGGGTTTCAAGGTGGATTTCAGCACTCATTCGACCTGGAGCTTCCCATAAAGCGCCAAGGGAGTTTCCGGACGCTTGCACAAGAAGGCTGTAGAGGGCCCTTAACAAACACCTGCAAGACCTGGCCGCCAAGATTCCGAACCTCTGCATCTCCTATGCACCGAAGCTCCAAGTCACAAGCATGAAGTTTGGCCAATCCTGCTTGCTCATCCCTTGCAGCTAAAATCCATGGCCAAGTTTTATTCCTCCATTGCCGGTGGATGATGAAGAGCAACAGTTGTGATCATGATGGTGGGGATGATGCATTACATGCATTCTGTGGTAATGCTCGCGGCGGCGGTCGTGTTGATGGAGGTAGCAGGTAGCAGCGATCGCTAACTGATGATATAGACAGTGGCATGGGCAATGAGAGGCTGAAACCTATGCGCAGCTTATGCGTACAGGCTAGTGGGCAGTGCACAGAAGAATCTCCCCCAGAGGACAAGGTGGAGGTCGACCAGCTGCATTCCGCAGAAGACAACTGGGTTCAGATCATGGAAGGCCCTCTCAGACAGAGGGTTTCGAGAGAAGGGTTTGGTTAAAGCTTGGGGAGCTCTGGGTCTCCAGGGCGCCGGGCTTCGAGCAGTTTCTTTCAAAACTGGGCTGTGTGCAAGCAGATGTGGGGCGGTCGAATCGGATCTTGCTGGATTTTCGATCTCAAGCCAAGCTAAGCAGCACAAGGGTAGCACGCCCTAAGCCCCTAGGTCGCTAGAACTAACTAGATGAGCCATGGGGCAGAGGGAGCTTGACAATTCAATGGCACTTTGTTGCTAGCGTCTCCCATGCGTTCAGCATTGCCTGTACATTTAATCATCAAGTTCTCCGGAAGATAGGCCTCCGGCACTCGAGACGACCACCAAGCTGTGATGCAGCCCTAAACGTATAGGGGTCCGAAAGTTGAATCATAGCCTTCCCTTCATGGTCCGTCTGTGTAATCATACTAAAATTCCTCCCCAACCCTATTGTAATACAGTAATCCTGCCGTACGAAGGCCCCTCACACCCGAAGCTGGAGCTCGAAGGTTGGGTGCAGACACGGATGCTGGTGGCGGGCACAGAGTATGAAGCTTTGAAGCTCTTCGGTGGCATTCAGATGACAAAACAGGTTGCACCTTGAGAAGGGTGCTTCAGGATGTAAGGCGAAGGACTGCCCGATCTGTAATCATCTTTATGACATAAGTAGCACTAGCAAAAGGGGGCACAGATGCCTTACCTCAGGTGTCAGAGGAGTCGTGTCTCCGATCTGGTACGTCGAATTCGTTTGTGTGCGCCCCCGCTGTCCCAAAAACTGAGAAACTGCAAGAAGCCGTAACCTCCGAAACGCCTGAGAGAGCTAAACTCCTCCGTCAACTCGGCTTAACCCCTGACGAGGCATGTAGGGTATGGGTGTGAGCAATACTGTGGTGTAGCTGGTAAGCTGCCCGCAGATTTGGGTGTTCTGCTGCTTTGGTCTGAGTCGTAGTTCCCGCATGCTCATGCCAAGGCTGCGGCCACTGTGGAGCCCGGTGGATCCTCCGCGAAAGAAGAAAGAAGCCAGCTGCTGCTTCGCAAATTCAGTCGCAGCTTTTCGCATCATGCGGGCAGGCTTGGGGATCTTGAGGTGAAGTGTAGTAGCTCGGCAGCCGACAGCTGGCTACTTCTGGCTGGAAGCTTTTGGGGATAGGCTGCATCCATCGGGAATGTGCACGTTCCCAGTGTAACCCCAATATCCGGTCTTCCAAGCATGGCATTTCATGCAGCATGGAGTCATGTTGATTGTTACATTTCATACGGCTGAACTTGCTGGAAGCATGGACAAGCTCAGGGAAGAAGCGCCAGCAAACAATTTTCGCCACGTTCGACACAGAGCTGCAGCCCTAGCTGTGCACCTTGCTTGTGGGAGCACTCAGGGTTCGAACCACATCTCCCGAACGAATGATTTTCGGGACTTCCTTGACTGGGTGCAGGTCTCTGTGGAATGTATGAAAACTGTTGCTTCGCGCGTTTCCGGACGGCGCTTCTGGGTAATGTGTATCAGGCGACCTCACACAGATGAGCCCAGCCATGGCTTCGTAGTGATTATCTGCAGGCGAGGGCTTGAGGCAGTGAATCACTGCCCTAGACCCAAACCTCACAGCCAAACTGAACCCTGAACCCAAACCAAACCCAAAGCGTTGAACCCTGTAAACCCAAACCAAACCGAAAACCCCTAACATTGATGCTGACACCTTGCCATGGCGTTGCGGGGCCCGGGCCCAGCGCGGGCCACTGACAGCCCAGCGACGCTGCGTGTGGCATGGATTGCCGATCCGAAGAAGCCCCTGGGAAGACACAGACACTGCTGTGCAGTACACAAATTCCTAAAGATTAGCAGAAATACTATGATGCTACACACACACGCACCCCGCCCTTCCAAGAGACAGAGAGAGAGATGAGCAGCATCGGTGCCTCCTTAGATTGAGAATACTAGAGAATCATGCCTGAGCTGTCTCGCACCGCCTGCATCTTGCACTTCTTGTAACTTCTCTAAGCCTACCTTCCCCATTCTGTGAAGTTGATCGGTTTGTCATGCTTTCGGCTATGAATTCTACAGGCAGCTACTCGCAGACTGAAAGAATCAGCAGCATGATTGCACGGCTCACTCGTCGTCTTTTTTCTTGTCGTGGGCACGGCAGCTCCCCCTGCACATGATGCGAGCAGAAACCTCGCACGAGCACCAGATTTCTTGAATCATTAGCGGAGTATCAAATGTTGGTTAGCACCGTGTGAACATGAGGGTGATCTAGTGCGTGCGAGGCTTTTTGCAGGCCGGTTCTCTCACCTGCAACAACCCCTGTCTCTCTTCTGCAGAGAGGCTTTCATACCATTCAAGGGACCAGGCTCTAAGGCAGGAAAGGGCCTGATCTTTCGAGCGAGTCGCCGATTTCGGGCCTCGGACACCGCCTGCATCCATATACGACACACATCTGCTCTTTTTGGAGCGGTGCTTGAAACCTGCTGGCAAGTAACACTGTACAAATGGACTCTGGCCCACCGGATTGCCGTAGTACACAACACACCCTGGAGCGACTTCGCCCTCGGGAACTCCACGGGGAACATGCGGTACATGCGGACCTTTGGCACGAGGAGCGCCCTCCTGAGAAGAAACATTGGGGCAAGCTAAAGACACCACTGGAAGACACAGGACATGGACTTCAGACGTCGGGACTTGAGGGACAGAGAAACTCAGCATTCCGGACTGAATGACAGCTCAGCGTCGTGAGATTCCTTCCCGGCCTCGTCTGCTCCATTGGCTCCTTCGGCCATCGGAACATCGTGGCTCACAGTCTTTGGCTCATCCGGGTTTTGCTCATCCGGCTTTAGCTCATCCGGCTTTGGCTCATCGGAACCCTGCTTGGCATCATCATCTGCTGATGGATCCTCTGCCATTTCCTCCAAAAGCTCTTCCTCTTCCTCGTCGGAAGTCTGGCCCTCCAAATGCTCATCCTCCTGGTCTTTGTTTGGGTCCTGCAAAAATGGGCGGAAAGGAGGATTTTGGAGGTGGTTTCCCTATCGCTGCAACTTGTTCATGAAGGGAGGGTTTGCGATGTCCCTCTGTCCTCGTTGCGTTTTTTGCGCGGGCAGCTGTCAGGGATTTCCTCCAGGATGTTCTGGATCTCTTGTTCGGACTTGCCCATTTTGAGGAGGAACAGATGAACCCGAGCCTTGTAGTCCATCTTGCCGTGTTTCAGGCCCAGCTCTATGCATACAGCCGCAAGCAAACCGCGAGGGATGGTCAAGATAGACACATCAGCAACATACTGCTGCAATGTCATCCATGCGGAAGTTTGCCGCCATCCCAACTGATCGTGAGCGATGACAGGGCTGGTCTGGGAGATGACCACCTCCGTGATGTCCGTCACCGCCTTCCCCAAACGAGGAACCTTCATCTCCTTGAAGCTGAACACATCGTCATCTGAGTCACCGAACTTCACGAGCGGGAGCACTCGCAAACAATGTGGCCCTGCACGAAGAACCAGAAAGCGTGTGTCAACTTCTTCTCCCTTTTTCCAAGACACGAACACATGCTCCGGCACGAGCTTGCAAATCCACAAGGACTTGAAAAGCTCTTGGACCATATCCAAGCGGTCCTGTCCATCCCGCACATCTGCGATTTGCTCGTGATACTCATGAGCTAACAGCCTCATGAGATCCAGCCGCTGGCTCAGGATGTGCGGCTTCGTGTAGTGCTTGGAGGACCGGTGCTTCGTAAGGCCCTCGCTTGAAATTCCAAGCTCCACATCCGTTGCCTTCAAGATGCTGTGAACCCGGCTTTTGACATACTTGTGCGACAAAGGAGTTGACCAGTCTTCTGCAGTGAGGCTGAGGGCCTGCCCTCCAGCAGGGCGGCGTGAACTACTTTTCTGAGCGATGGCATGGATGTTCTGCGGCACCGTCTTTTCAGCTTTGGCATGCCTCCTGCCACTGTCCCTCAAGTCGTTGAAAGTCAGCTCGCACGGCAAGCTGGAAAGCACACTGTCCGTCTTCTCGCCTGTCATGCCTGCCACCACACGGCAAACCTCAGTGAAGGGGAGGCCACATTCTTCATCCATGGCCTCCGGCCGGAAGCTCATCGTCCTGGGATGGTGTGGATTGTTGCATCCGAGTGTGTTTCGCGGGCCGGGGCAAAAACCCTAAACCCTCAAACCCTAAACCCTAAACCCTCACTCCTAAACCCTAAACCCCTAAACCCTACACTCCTAAACCCTAAACCCCTAAACCCTAAACCGTGCATACGGACAGAATACTCGGCTTTGATCATCACATCACGGTAGGCTTGGTAGCGGGTGAAGGAGAAGAGCCAGTAGAGCTCGTGCTGAGAAGGCAGCTTGTCAATGCAGTCTCGCACAAACTCCCACTCCATTCTCATGCTCTGAAGGGTTGCTGCCTTGGAGGACTCGTGAAGGCATGCAATAGATGCCCAGGGAAAAGAACGATAGACAGCATCGAGATCACACAGGGCATCGATCTGGAACAGGAAAAGCTTCGCCACCCATTCGAGGGATTCCTCGTCGCTTGTGGCTCCACAGTAGACCAGGCCACTCCCCTTCGCAGCATTCTCAAAAGTCTTCCTCAGAGTTACTAGCAACATCATGGTAGGGATCCCACAAAAGTCCTGAGGGAACAGACGGACTACAAAGGTTTCTGTTGTGTCGTAGCCCCAGGGGCACGATCAACTTGCCAACTTTTTTGCCCGTCGCCAAAGAGATGTAGTGGCGGATGGAGGCGGAGCCACTGTTCTGAAAATCTCTTGCCTCAGGCTTGATCTTTTGTTTGAAGTTTGGCTCATGCTGCCACATACCCAAACAACATGGAGATACTTGGGGGGTAGCCCTCCAATGTTCGGATCAGGCACACAGTCGGCCACGTAAATTCGGAGCGCTTTGAAAACCACGATGAAAGCACGTGTCTTGTCCTGATTGGTGTCGTCAGCAAGCACCTGGGCGAATGATAGTATCTCTACTTTTCAACAAAAAGGCCCTATTGTATGATATCCTGCAAAAGGGCTGCAACAACCGGGGAGCGAACATGCCAGGCTGCCACACGAGCCGAGAAGTTGTCGTCGCTTGCATCTCCAGTGCGATTCAAACCCCATGGATTCTTCCCCTCGACGAAGAGGGAGAAACAGTGTGCCATGGCCTCGGTATGCCAGCATTTGTCTAATGCGACGGCATAATCGTAAAAGCTGAACCATCGTACGTCCTTCGCTGTGTCAGCTCGCAAGTGCATGACACCTGCGAGCTGGGGCTAACTCACAACTGCACATGCATCATGCTGCTAACGAGTGTTTTCCAAGAATGGCCTTTGCGTTTCTCCAGCAGAGCCACGGCGTGCGTGCCGGAGAAGTCCGAGGAGGCGGGGCCTCCGACATTGCACCATCCAGCCTCATCCTTCGCCATACCGGTGAGCCAGAGCTGAACGAAGTCTGAATTCGGATCCTCCTTGAGCAACCGCAGCAAGTGATCCCTGGCCTCTGCCACGGTGCGACCAAAGCGACTGCTTTTGAAGGGGCCCCGTGAAAAGCGAAATAGAGTCATCAGTCGACGGAGGAATTGGGGTCCTTCTTCTAGTCGGCGTATGGCGGAGCCCGCCTTTCGGGCGGCTTTGTGAAACAAGTCTGGCCAGAAAACTGCCCAGAGGTTCTGGGAGCACAGGTGTTGCCAGCCAACGAATCCCTGGGGTGTCCGATTCAACCGAACGTGGGATCAAGTCAACCCGCTACTTAAAACAGCTACATACGTGTTCTATGTGTCGCCTTCCTGCCTCCGTCCCTTCGTCCGCCCCAAACACGAGACGGACAAAGTCCTCGTGAACATAGAAGTCTTGGCGTCCTTCAGATGCTTCAGGATCCCACACAAAGTAGACCTTGGCGTCCTGGGCAAGCTTCGGGTTCAGGAGCGACTTCTCAACCTCGAAGGGCAACCGATCACAGCCACGTGCAGCGGGCAGCAGGGGGTTCGGCGGGATGCATCCCTGGAGGGTCCAGCCTGCAGGCATCGCCTGCTGTAAACTGTTTGCTAAGCCAGACAGCAAGTGCTTCGTGGGCGTGCGAAATTCTCGAAAAGAATGTGCATCCTTGGGCAAAGCGAACCTGGACTTCGCATTGTCTGGGAGGACACCTTCCAAGCAACTTGACAATGCAACTGCTGCTGCCACTGCCTCCGTCTTGCTGCAAGTGTTCACAGGCAGGAGCTGCGTTGCTCCAGCGAAATGAAGACCGTCCATCCGGTAGACGACCGACAAGACCTGCGACCGACTTTAATAATGGCAGTTCACAGTGGCCGGCAGGTTGGTTTTTGAACTGTATTGGGTTGCTCTCTCTCCGTCTCTTCCTGTCTCGCTCCTGTTCTGTTTCTCAGCGCTTGTGGAAGGAAACATGTCTTCCTCTATGAGTATCACGTTTCTTTCTCTCAGGTCTTACCTTGTATTTGCTCTGCGTTTATGTTTCTCTATCTGTCTCTTTATCTCTTTAATTCTTTATCTCTTTATCTATTTATCTCTCTATCTCTAGCTCTCCAGCTCTAGCTCTGTCTCTATCTCCGTCTCTCTCTCTCTCTCTCTCTCTCTCTCTCTCTCTCTCTCTATCTCTCCCTATCTCTCTCTGTCTCTCTTGCATTGTAAACTTTTTTTGATGCGATCTCACAACTCAGGCTGAGGGCTTGGTTCAAGGTGAAGGCTTGCAAGGTTCAAGGTTTAGGGTAGGGGCCTGGTTTTCAGCCTCGGGTTTACTCATGATTTCAGTGGCTTAGGCGTCAGGCCTGCTCGCCAGCAAACGACGTCGCGTCGAAGCAGAAGTTCAAGCACCGAAGGCGTTGTCTCTGGAGGCAATCGCTCACCGTGGCCTCCGCCTTCAACAGAAGGCGTCCAACGTACTCCGAAGATGTGCGGTCGGCCAGGGTGCTCTTTGCATCTACGACACCTAAGTCACCCAAGCTCTTCTCGTCTTTCATGGAAATATACCCAGCACCTCTGCACAAGAAGCGGCTCACCATGTGCATGCGAAGTGTTTTGTTGCCTCTGCGTCGGGAGCTCTTCATGAAAGGATGGTACTTGGTTGCCAGCGTCGGGTCCGGGCAGTCTACGACGACACATCGTTCCAGTGTCAGCTCAGCCTCCTGTGCCCAGATGTGAGCTGCCCGCTTGGTTAAGCGGCGAAAGCCCAAAGAATTGCAGAACTCGGGGTCTCCCTTCAAACGAAAGGATGTGGTCAAGAACACACTGAAAGGCATCATGATGCCGATGGTGCTGCCAGTCATTCGTTTCGCAAACCTGCAGGACAAGCAGAGGCCACAGCGGCGCTGACACTCACAACATGCAAACATGCGGGAGACCTACCTCGACCAACTCAGGCCAAGGTCGGAGAGGATGGCTTTGATCTGTTCCACTGGCAGCTTGTTCTCGCGAACATCAACTTTGAAAGTTTGTGCAAAGGGCAGCAGCTGCACAGACTGGTTCATGTTCATGTGCTGCTCGAGCCTCTCCATAAACGACACAGATTCGGCCACTCCCTCTGGCCCGAAACTCGCAGTAGGCAACAGCGTCGCCAGCAGGACGAGGATGCCCGGCACGGTGCAGGCATCCACCGGCAGGCATGTCAGATCCTTGACTTGACCCTTGTAAGTTGTTCGCCGGGCAACCTGGGCGTAGACAAAAGTGACTGGGTAACCTCTATCTGTGCAGATGCCGCGGCAATTCACAAAGCAGCAGACAAAACAACAGAGCAGCGGACATGGCCACCACCGATCTCTAGCATGTGTGCAAGCGGCAAGAAGTTTCCCGAGTAGTTCTTTGTAAACCATTGCGTAAATGGGGTTTTGAAGCGGTACCACTCGGCCACAGCGATGAAGTGTCTGTACCCTTCGACAGCAGAAGCTTCGTCCACCTGGCACAGTACAAAGGCCAGGTTTACGAAAAGAACATCCACGGACTATGAACAAGGCAGACGCAAACTCTGGAAACCAATCCCGCTTGTGCCTGCAGCACAGTCCAGACTCCCGTGACGTTGGGAAGAAAACGAAAAACATGTGGAAGGGAACGTTTCTCGTCCTCCACACCTTTCGGTAGCTCGTCAGGCTCATTCTCAGACGGGCCTTGCACTGCACTTGGAATCCAAGGCTTCGGGGCAAAAGGAGTCTCGGAGCCGTACATCTCTATGAGGGAACATATCTGGCTCTCGAAGCGGTCACTGGCTGATCTACGATCAGCCTCGGAGCCTTCAAAGCTCCCCGGCATGAACGATTGCCGTCGGAGAGCAATCGCTCTGCGAACTTCCAGCAAGGCTGTGCTGCTGTCGGACTCTGCAGCTTCCAGAGGAAGCGTCTGTAGCAACTTCTTGACACCGCTCAACCAGGCCTGGCAGCAGCACAGCCTAAAGACACGACCACTGCATCCCGTAAACCGAAGGAGACTTTCCTAGTCTGACTGCTTCAATGCATCATAAGCCGCGGCGGCGTGGGCCCCCTACAACATGACTTTCGCTTTTGTTTCACATTGCAAGGAAAAGCTCTCCGAGTACGGACCTATCTAGGAAAATCTGGAGAAGGCACAGAAAAAGACATTGTGGGATTATACTGGAACACAAGAAAGGTCTAGAAAGAGAAGAAAAAAAGAGATGAAGAGAGACAGAGACAGGCAGAGAAAGGCAGATGTACCGGGACAGAAACTCTCTATTCGGTGGAACCGGAGAGAAGTATCGGGAGACTGGGACTCGGAGCGAGCCAGAGAGCCAGAGGAGACCCGGGGAGGAACTGTGAGCGTGCACCGGCTGCTCGGCCTCTTCATCGGTCTGGGCCAAAATCGTTCTCGTCGCCATGGCCGCCCCGGCACCCCGCCGGGGACCAACGATGGGAAAAGTTCTGAAATGGAGGCCAGTAGGATAATCGCATCTAATGGGAATGTTTGGAGAAAAACCTCACTATCCCCATTCTGGCCGTTATCGTTCTGGCCCTCTTTGGGCCACTTTGGGGGGCAAGAACGATTCTGGGTCGCGAGAACGATTCTAGATGGCGAGAACGATTCTGGGTCGCGAGAACGATTCTGGGTCTGAGAACGATTCTGGTCGCGAGAACGATTCTGCGTCACGAGAACGATTGTGCTCGCGAGAACGATTCTGGCCTGAGCCGGGAGCCAGAATCACCAGAAGCGGTCCGATTCCAGGGGCGAAACATAACGTGGACTGATCATATTCACTGGCTGCTCCGGCTTGCAGAGTGGATGCAGGCTGCCCGAATGCTTCAATTTTTCGCGCGCCCGTCTCTGAGTCTGGCCGTCGTGACACGGCAGGCTTCAATCCATGGAGTTTAGATCTATGACACTGGGAAACACAAAGCGGAGTGCTTCGTAGTGCATCTCGAAGTAATTCGCAATCAGTACCCGGGTTTCCCAACGATCGTCGATGATCAGCCACAAAGCTTCTTCTCTGTGCCACATTTCTCCAACATTGAATACAAAAGCCCACTCTATCATGTCGCGGCGGTCAGGGTCGGACTCGAGCCAAGGCCCGCCTACTTTCTGCTTCACGTATCGCTTCCATCGGGAGCGTTCTAGCCAAGGAATCCGCACGACTGTGGCATCTATCGGCAATGGGGGCATGGCTTAGAAGCTACAGAAGCATCACTCGCAAACAGTAGCTACAAAAAATTTGGAGCAAGAACGGCCGGCAGCAGAGCAGGCCAAGCAGCATTCACTGCTCCACACATCTATTTCCATGGGCCAGCAAAGGATCAAAGCAAATAGCTCCAGAGGCCGTCGTCATCGCAATATTTTTTGTGGCTGCCGCGGGGACGGACCGCGTCAAGACCCTCGGGCTATTCGTGCGATGACAATCCTCGTCCATGAGGCGAGTGTCCGGTATCGGACACTGAAAGAGACGCAAAGAGAAGCAGAAGGACAGCTCTGGATGGCTGAGACACGACATGTATGCATGGTGAGCACATCAGTCACCATCCGAGCTAGAGCCGGCGGAACTACCACTGCCCATTTGCAGAGTGGATCTCTTGGGCTGAGCCTGGGGAACCTCATGAGGCGACTGGGCGTCAGATGGCGGAATCTCACTGGGCTCAGGAACCCGAGGATGGTCATCATCATCATGCCCAAAGAGCTTGCGGGCATAATGCTTCGCGGCACGGTGCACGAGACCCTCCTGAGATCAACTGTTGCTGAAGCACAGACCGCAAGACATGCGCTCAGAGGTCCCCTATCTCTCAGTATTGAATACCTCGGATTGGTTGGAGCCGGGACTCCATGTCGGTACACAGAAACTTCAGAAACCGTTTGAGGCTTTGACGACCCATCCAGCTCATAGCCTGAACAATGTCACGGGATTTCTTTCCCATGGCATCTAGACACCATCCCTCTCTGAGAGCTTGCACAAACTCCTTGATGGAGACCTCGGGTAAACCAGGCAAAGAAACGGCCGGGTGTGCGAGTTGATGCTTCAATATGGATGGAAAGACAAGGACAGGAGAGTCAGAAAAACTATAGATGAAACCAGGTCGCCAAGCCATCCTCCGTGGCTGCTTGCAGGAAGAGCTCGGCGTCCTGCTTGGAAGCAAAGAAGCGGGCGAGGTCATCCTTCAAGAAATCCCGCAAGGTGCTGTCGGAGCCTGAGTTCTCTCCTTCACCGGTTGCAACAGGTGTCGCTCCCGGCGTCGTCTTGCCCGGCGTGCTCCCCGGGGTCGAGGTTTTCTTCTCAGTGCCGAAGCGGTCCTTGAAGAGGTCGTCGTCATCAGTCATCTGCCACTCGCCATTTCGACAGCTTTGATCCCTCCACGAACCAGGTTTCTCTGCCTGCGTAAGGACAGCGCAGAGATGGCAGTGGCACAGGAGTTCGCAGAAGTACAACAAGTGTTCATCCTATGCAAGGGCAGCTACTCTGCTGCAGCGGCCTTGGGTCCTTTGACGTCCGATGCCCGAGATGACTTCTTGACCTTGTCTGGGGTTTGGCAACCAGGCGAGTCTTCCTCCTCCTCCAGCTGCTTGTCGACCTGGAGATTCCGGGTGGACTGCCGACGGATAATCCGGTTGGTCGGATCTCGCTCGCTCTTCTCATCCTGGCCAGCTTCCTTCTGCAACTCCTGGACCATGTTGTCAATGGCAGCCGTCCATGCCTTGACCTCCTCTTCCGCCTTGGCACGAGCGGCCTGGACCTCTGCATCGAAAGTCCTCATGGAGAAGCGGATAAACAAACACAAGCACTGAGAACGAGAACAGCACAACAGGATTTCAAGGTGTAGAGGCTCTCACACAAAGCATCTCTGCTCCTCCGAAGGCTACCAGCAGTCTTGTGCTGAGAGATCAGCGTCATGCCGTCCAAGCCGGTGACTGCCACAGAATACAGTTGAAAGGAAAGGAAGTTCAACAACACCCTAAATGCCAAGCCCTCACGAAACAGAGTCTGCTCAGAACCTAAACATAACATGACCCCGGCCTGCTTCAGTCAGCTTAAGAAGCCTATTCTTCCAATCTTGCTCGGCAGCAGCTTCGTTCTGCGTCAGCGTGACTTTCAATTTCAATCCCTCGGCACTGGTGTCCAGGCTGCAAGTCTGCTTGCTTCTCCGCCGCACCTCCCGAAATCATTTCGAGAGCTACAAATCGCAACAAGAGCTAGCAGTGGCTGAAGGAAGCAACTGCCAAGCACACTGGTAAAGTACAGAGCAAGATGAAGCCTCGAGCAGGTTGCCCCCCATCTTCATCAAGGCATTCTCCGTAAGCTGTGGGACGAGTCTGCTCACACTGGCTGCTAGCACTGCAGGCGGCAGGTCTGACAGCTTAGACATTTTGGCTTTGAGCTTCAGTGACTGAGCGTTCCTTGGACGGGTGGAAGCAACAGCCAGGAGCACTGCGATGACAGGCATGACAACACTGACACTCGTATTGCGTTTAAGGCTCAATCCAAATTCTGCCGCAGATGCCTCGAGCTCCGCATCCTGGGGATTCTCGCGCGAAGAAGAAGAAGACGAGCTTCTCCTCCGCCTCCTGTCCTTATCCTTCGACTTGCGATTGCTCTTGCCACCTTTGGGTTTTGATTTGCCCATGCTCTAATGGCTGGCGGCCTGCGATAAATGAAGGGCCTGTGCCTCTACTGTTGCACTGCCTATGAGTGACCCAGAGGCCAAAACTTCATGGCAATCAATGAAGTGCTTCATGAACAGACGGAAAGCAACGCCTCGCACAAGATAGCAAAAGTGAGACTCATGCCGGGCGAGCCTTTTGCATCCCTCTGGGGCTGAGCACGGTACGTCAGAAGGGCACTTCATGTGGCAACGAGAACTTCGCATCGCGAATGGGTTTTAGTGTGGAGTTTGAGAGAAAGGCCGTTAAGTTTGGGGCTCGAGATCAATGAAGGTTGGGGGTTTAAGGCTTAGGGTTGAAGGCTTAGGCCAGCCAGTCGAAACCAGTACTGCACTCGACAATGTAAACCACAAACCCCAAACACAGCCTGACCAATTTGTAATACGAATAATCGAAAACCCGATGCACAATATGTCACCCCGACAGCAGAAACCGGAATCAAATTTTCAGCACCATAGACCTATTCGACTTCTCAGCAGCTATTCATGGTTTTTCTAGAGATCAGGGTTTCAAGCTCAGGGTGGAGGGTTTTAAGGTTAAGGTGTTTCACGGTTTTTCAGGCGTGGGACTTGTATGGTTTAAAGGTTTCGGGATTCCACACTCGCACTCGGACACGAAAGGGGGTCAAGACTGGTGCAACGACCCGGAAAATCGGCAGGAATCCAATGAAACCAAAACAATGAGTCTGCGAAGCTCGCCTTCGCGAGCAGAAGGTCTCGGGATTATGGCGCACGGGTACCCAACACCATACCTATATTTACCTTGAATACAGCAAAGAAGCAAACAAGGCCGATCGTTTAAAGTCTCGGGATTAGGATGTCAGGTTTAAGGTTTACAAGGGTTTTAGGGGTTATGGCCAGCCAGTCCGAAACGCCTACGACAACGTAAACCGCACACCCCTAACATACCCTGATCCTAAATAAGCTAGAAAACGATGCAGCATACGGCACCCCGACAACAACAAAAATAAACTTGAACCGCTTAAACAGACCTACTCTGACTTCTTCTGCAACCGAACCAACCACAAAAAACAACAAACCCTAAACCCCAAGTTTCCACGGCACATCGAGGGAGCCCAGGTGCTCACCTCAGGGCTCGTTTGGGGCGGAAGTCGGAGACCAACACCCCTACCGGAAAGATCCCAGTCACGGGGTAGTGGTGTTTGCTTGGGGCCTATTTACGTTTTCGCAGTGTTCGTAGGGCATTGAGGGCTTAAGGCCCTGAATGGGTTCAGGGTTGTGTTGGGCGAAGGTGGTGTGGGGGTTTTGAGGAAAAGCAGACTATTGTTGCACAAAACGACAGACTAGGAGGGGATATAAGATTGGTTGCTTTGGGCTTTACCATGTACACTTCATCTTGAGTTCTATATAGGGTCGTCAGCTTTCAGGGCATGAATAGTTTCAGAGGTCGAGGCGACTATCATATGTGGGAGGGGAGGGGGCGCGGCAGGTGTTAACTAAATAATTCGTATTAGTTGATGCATTAGTATAAAAACTATGGAAGATTTCACCAAAGTACAACCATGAATGAGCTTCAATTTCGCAGCAGTGAAATAGAAACCCTTAATTCCGACAACCCTGAAAAGACAAACCACAAATACAGACAAGAGATAGAGCCACCCCGGGATTGCAGCACAGCAGCAAGGCAGGGATTAAAAACCGAAATGGTTCTGTTGGTTTTGTTGTGTGTTGTGAAACTACAGTGGACGCCAAAAACTGTTGGAATATAGGCACCCTGACATTCAGCACTCCATGAGCGAGCGCGTGCAAGTTCCAAATTTGGCACTATGTTCCAGCAACATTCTGACTGACTGGACCGGCCGGAAAACCAGCGTAATGTCATCAAGGTTGGGCCATGGATGATACGGACATCATTATGCTTGGAGGTGGGGGGGCACCTCTGGGGGGGAAACAACCTAACCTAGCACTAACCTAAACCCTAAGCCCAGCTTCCCCTGATTAGGGGACCTAAAAAAATATATAAAACTACACACTGGGCCCTAAACCCTACGTGCCCGCCGACCCCTGTCTTGGGGAGCAATGCACCCTAAACCCTAAGCCCGGTTTCCCCTAAAATTTGGGGACCTAGGCACATGCATGTGTCCTAAACCACCCTGAAAAAACCCTGAAACGAAACCACCCCCACACGCCAACCGCAACCCTATGAACCGGGGGTGGCGGGGGGCGGGTTGGGAGGGGGTTTGAGCCAACACAAACACGCCTATACAAACAAGCATGGGGAGGCGTCAGTGCTCGAGTGTGCGATTCAGGTCCTTTCGATCCATGCCATACCGCTGGCTAGCGATATGGTTGTGGGGTCCCCGTACACGTATCTCTCTGCAATACTGGAACGGCCGTAGTAATCAATTGGAATTTCCCTCTCTGCCCTGCTGGAAGGGTCGCAATATTTACAGTTTGTATCTCAGCTTGTATCCCTGCAGTACTGCAGGGGTCTTTGTAGTTCCAGTTTCTGTCTGTCTGCAATATTGGCAAAGGTCGCAATAATTGCATTTTCTTTCTCTGCAATACTGGAGCGGTTGTAGTAATTGCAGTTTCTCTTTCTCTGCAACACTGGAACGGTCGTGGTCATTGCAGTTCCCCTCTCCTTGCAATAACGGAAAAGTCGTAGTGATTGCAGTTTCTTGCTGTTTGCAATACTGGAGCGGTCGTTGCAATTGTAGTTTCTCTTTTTCTGCAATACTGCAGCTTTCGTGGTAATTGCAGTTCCTCTCTCTTTGCAATACAGGTTCCAGCTTTCCTTTTGGCGGCTTTCTGACCATGTTCCAACTTTAGCCTCCGAGATCAAAGTTGGAACCTGTGGTTTGGGGCCAATTTGCTCCTGTGGACACGTTCCAACCTTCTGGCTTCCACCATAAGCCTAAACCCTAAAACCAGCAGAAATCGGCGCTAAGCCGTTGTAGACCGGAGTTGTTGTGTGTTTGTGCATTGAGTCTTATCGGGTTCAGGGTGCGCGCCTAAACCCAAGTCAGGAACTTCGACTATCGAACGAATCTAACCTGAGCTTATTATTTAGGGTTTAAAGTTTGAAGGGTTTAAAGTTTGAGATATACTAAAACCGGTTTGAGGCTCAGGCCGTCTGCCAGTCGACGAAAAGCGCACGACAGCCGGAACCTGGGCCAAGCCCCAAATCTGCGACCCTTCCAGCACAATACCCCCAGGACCTAAAACCTGAAACCTACACAAACCCTTTTGCCATTGACTTAACCTACGCCTTAAACACACACAACAGAAACAACATCCGAGCCTACACCGTGAATATAACATCCCAACTTTGGAACTTGGAAACCCACACCTGTGCGACTACATACGCCCTGAACTTGAAAGCCAATGGTACCTGATTTCCCCAACGACGATAAAACCCTGAACTCTCAAATCCAGCTCTGTGGGCCTGACCCTTTAGAGGCTTCGAACCCCAAGGAGTTGAAAATGCTAAACACTTCAACCTCACCATACAGGGTCGCGAATGTTCTCAAATCCCACCCCAAAAGTTGAGAAACCGAGCTGCTTCTCGGTCATCGAATCATCATGCCAGTGGATCTCGCTCGCACTTGCCCATGCGAAGCGGTGGAAGGGGGGTTCTAAGGTGCATTTGGGATCTTCGAGCCCCTGGGAGCTACAGATCATAAATCTTCCTTACAGCCATCAAACAGAGTGACGAGAACGATTATGGTTAAAAGTATGGAACATAGGCCAGAATGGGAATGCAAGGCTTAGAACTTCAGGGCAGGTCGGGCTTTTCTTCAAGTCTACAAGACAGGAGGGATCAAAAGAGAGTTAGCCCAAAGACCTTAATGATCGGCCACACACACATGGGTGGTTGTCAAAATTAGGGTCCTTTTTCGGGTCCTTATCATAATACGTCAACTAATATTTAGGGTACCCAAAAAAGGGACCCTAATCTTGACAACCACCCACATAGTGCCTTAAATTCGAAGGTCCAGGTAGCCTGCAGCTGCTTTAACTATCTAAGGTTCGGATCAAAGCCCGGCTATCCGAAGCCCAGCCTCCGCGACCGTTTGCAGCGAGAGGCGATTTTGCTATCTGGTCGCCCAAAAGCATGACTTGTAATTTCATGCCTGATCCGGGCGTCAGTCTTTTCTTGGGTGGCTGTGGCCGTGGCTCAGTCTTTCGACACACCAGGTCTCATGATTAGGATGAGATTGAATTTTGGAAGTGTTGGAGATTGTCGGAAGTAGATATGATGCTCCCTCGTTGGTTTCTAGAGACTCCAAGAAGAAAGATGGAAACAGCATCATCATGGCCGGCCTTGACTGCCAACTTTTTTGGTTCAACCTTCATGGGACATGGAAATTCTTTGCATTCGGGTTCTGATGCTGCTAAAGTGCGCCAGGGTGAGCTACTCTGTAGGAAGCATGAGCTTTCATTGCAGATACATGAAGAGTTCACGCCACACTCTTGGAGGAAATAGGCAGCAGCAGCCGTGGAATGCGGTTGCGTATCTCCGTCTTCTTGGCAACTATCATCTGTTGTACTTGGGTATACAAATTGCGGCCTTTGCTTGATCGAGCTGTCCCAGACTTTTGCAGAAAGCAAGGGCTGTTTCCAACGTGAGCTTCGACACCCCGCAGAACCATGCGGGCTTTGATCGTTTTTACAGCGTGCCGGATGCGTCAAAGGGAGGAGAGCGGAGAGCAGTCTGACAAGGCCTGCCCCATGGTCATGGTCGAAGTACGTAGGCACCCTGCCGCCCAATACCGGAACCGTCAGAAGCGATTGGATGCCACGTCAGGCCGGCTGGTCCTTCGTGCGGCTGACTCCGGAGGAAGTGCGCAAGGCAGGCAGCGTGCGCAGAAAAGGATGTGTGAAATCTATGCTTATATAGCTGGTTGAGCCTTCAAGGAAGATGGTCCAGTGATGTGCAGCTCTTTCGCCAGGGTGCATTGCTGACGAGTGCTTATGACGTCTTCATTGTTCCCGGTGGATATGCGCCGAACTTCGCTGCCTCTCAGCACCAAATCGAGACAGTCCGCTCCGCTGTGCGCGCGATTTCTGCACCAGCGGGAGTAAACGCGGGCTTCAGATGAATTCAGGTTTGAGCTGGGTTGCTCTTCGACAGGCACTGGCATCAACGGGCTTCATGCAATGGAGCCCAGTTTGAAGCCGTCACATCCCAGCCCAGTTATATATGCCTGAAGAAAAGGTACCCTCAACTGCAATCTCCAAAGGTCTTGATCTCTGCCCTGTTGGGTGGTGGTACGGTTTCAGAGGGAGACTATGTAGAGCCGAAACCCCCAAAGCGCGATCGGACAAGCACGCCAGAAGTCGTCTACACTGGCAAACCGAAGATCCTCATGTAGACTTATTTAAACTTACTTTCTAGACAAAGAGATGTGAAAGAGGGGTCTGCCCCATGCTCTTTGCCAAGGCAGCATTGGGCGATCTCGGCGGCGAACGCATTCGAGACTTCGTCAAGGCGGTAGCAATGCTCGGATCCGGCTTCGGGACGGAGCCACATACCTCTGCTCCCCTCTCCACCATGCAGACTCGGCAGACATGCAAGTAGAGCGTTATATCGCTATATGAGTGCATTGCAGATCCGAAAGCCTCCAGAGCACTTCGGAAAGTGACCTGGCAAGTTTGCCCAAGTACACCATCACGGTACTGTAGACTTGAGGTATCATGTCTTGCCTGGTTACCGAAACAAAAATTGGCGGCGGGTCTCTATGTTTAGAGTCCCGAAGACATCTCAGCCCCGCAAATATTCGGTACTTGCCATAATGGTCCCATGTACACCCCTGGCTCTATTGTTGGTTCCTGCGAGCCACGCAGGCTGGCGGTGGCTACGTCGGCATTTGCGCCGGGGCATACCTCGGCACCTCATGGGGCTACGACCTGCTTCCGGTGAATGTTCTGGACGGGAGTTAGTTAAGGGCCCAGCGTAGCAGTAGCAGTAGCAGATGAACCTGCTGCCAGCGGAAGACGATCCTGCACTTCTAGTAGTCTTGCAATGTCATCTCGAAGGACATTGACCACTGGGATCGTGGCAAGACTGATGCATGTGAGCTGAGCGCAACTGATGCTGGAAGGCGCATTGCTGGCAAAACCCTGCCCGCGACATTCGCCGTGCGCTATGCCAACGGCCCACTTCTGGAGATCCTGGACTCCTGTGTGGAGTCCTTTGTCGATTTTCAGTCGCAGCTGCGCGGGAAGCGGGGTACGTATCCACCCTTGATGAAGGGCTCTCCGGCTCTTCTCGGTGGACCTCTCGGTAAAGGCCGAGTGCTCTTAGTCTCACCGCACATCGAAGGCACCAAAGAGCTGGGCGACTGCTTCCGCAGCTTCGTGCGCTGGACGGCCGAAGCCGGCCGGCCCGACACGACCGCCACGACGAAGCCAGCAGCCACAGCAGCGGCGCCAGATGCGAGTGCAACGCAGCCGAGCAGCGTGTTTCGGGAGGCATCGGAAGTGCCAAAGGCAGCGCCGAAGGAGGCAGCGCCGAAGGCAACGGAGGCAGAGATTGTCGAAATTTTCCGGAAGTTTGATCTTAACGGAGACGGTCTGCTGGATGCGTCGGAGCTAGAAGCGCTGCTGAGTAGCCTGGATGAGGAGGCGGAGCTCGGTCGTGGATTAGTAGAGCTGATCGCAAAGATGAGGCTCCACGAGAGCAAAGGCATCCCATACGAGGAGTTAGTTGCTTGGGTCTTTGGAGCGCCGTGCTCCTTCGACCGTCCCGATATCGAAACCGATGGGGAGGAAGATGCCATCATGGACAAGATGTCCATGGTGCGAATGCAGTGCCTGGCTCAGTTTCATAGCACGGATGAGACTGGTGCCGAGCCTGGACCACCGCAGCTCGCACGGACTTGCAGTGACTGCTGCGGAGGAAAGCCGCAGGTCGTGTCCAACGAGCGCTTGGAGGCCTCCGTCGTTACCATCCAACGCGCAGCCCGTGCGCGGACGCTGAGCAAAGGTGCAGAAGACATCGGTCAGACCATGTCTCAAGCCCCTGACAAGACGGAGACCCCGGAAGCCGCGGCGAAGGCGAAGCCCAAGGCAGTTCCCAAAGCAACTCCGAAAGCTCCACCTCCTAAAGCAGCTCCTCCTGCAGCTTCGGGGCCTATTCTTAAAAGGGGTGGCCTCGACTACATCTGTTGCCTCGGGGGGCCGGTACTGATTACCGCACCGCATTCCATCAAGATCGTCCGTGGCGGCGGTGAGACCCAGGAGCGAACTCGTAACCACAAGCGTGAGCGTTGGACGGCCGAGATATCCATGATCGTGGTTCCTCGACTTTCTTGATGTAAAATAATCGCGATATCGCAGTGCGCTTGTATATGATATGGTTTCAGATACTGACAATTCGCATTCATGTTGCTCTGATCCATCCCAGGCACGGGAGCTCTGTCGGGCTGGTTCGCCGGCATCCGTGATGGTCTGGAATCGTGCGGCGGGCCCCGGCCACGGGCGGCTGGGACAAGAAAGGTATGCAAGAGAACGTATACGGCGTTGCTGTTTTTTTTTATGTCGTTTGGGCGAGGGACGTTTGTCGTCAGTTCAGTGGAATCCGCAACCTGATCGTGACAGACGGAGCCCCGAGGCGACTGGATCCCAACTACCTCCTGGCCTCACAGTTCCGTCTGTCGCCCTGGCATCGGGCACTGCACCGCTGGGCATCTACTGTGGGAGGCGGCGGGCCAGGCTCAGGGGCGGGCGCTTGAGATGTGCTTCAGCAGACTGTTTTCAAAATGCAACTCGCAAGAACCTGACTCTACTTCATCCAGATCGAAGAATCTCACAACTAAACAAGGCATACCTTTGCTGCACGTGGATCTGCATGGCAAAGTCTCGGAGAAGCTACACCTGGATTTGGGTGCAGCGCCCCTGGAGGAGGCCGCGAAATTTACAAGAAGTCTTGGGGTGGAGGGTTGTCTAGAACACTGAATCGAGATGTCAATCTATTGCGCCTTCCGGGGCAAATGTATCCAGGTGTGGCCTGCCTCGGACCAAAGCTTCGTGAGGGCCCTGAAATACAACTTCTGTGCCAAGCTGGACAAAGTTCTGGCTGACTGTCGTGTACTGTCCTTGAAGGGGAAGCAGATCAAAGTAGATGCGGACCCCTGCTCCTGAGCGGCTCTTGCACCTCATTTTGTGTTGTTTGCGGTTCGTGCTGGGACGAGTCGTCCTGGTCATGCAGACACGGGCGGGGCAAGCTTGATGAGACCTGCACAGCGCAGGTTTGCACGGCTTCTGGGGAGAAGACACCGTGACCACCATCTCCCACCAGTCGGTTCTTCTCGGCATCCCTGCAGTCCAGCTCCTCTCTGCTGGACTTGGAGGGCTTTTGGTCATGAAGCCCACATTTTCAGATGCTGTCGCTGCTTTTCTGCATCCCGAAGCAAAGGTTTGAGATGCCGCCGCGACTGAGAGAGCAATTGGTCACGGACCGGGCTTCGGAATGCGCACACACACACACACTCACTCACTCACTCACTCACTCACTCACTCTCTCACTCACTCTCTCTCTCTCTCTCTCTCTCTCTCTCTCTCTCTCTCTCTCTCTCTCTCTCTCTCTCTCTCTCTCTCTCTCTCTCTCTCTCTCTCTCTCTCTCTCCCTCTCTCTTGTCTAGTTACTCGTAGAAGGATGGAAAGATAGAAAGACCTAAGAATCAAAGCTGGATAGATAGACAGATGGGCAGAGAAACGAATAGACAGATCGCCAGACAGATCTAGGTCTAAGTCTATAGATAGAGTCTATATAGTAGTAGCCTTTATCATGGCAGGACCCGGAGCTAGGTCGGCGCTTTGCCGATGCCATCGCAGAGGTTTACCGAGACGTGGCAGAGAGCCCAGACACGGTGTTTAGGGTTTGGGGCAGTTTAAGGATTTAGGGATTTCCCGGCCATGGCAAGTTAAGTGGCATCGTCAGCTTGTGTAGGATGCTGATCAAGGAGATCGCAACGCACGTCTCGATTTTCTGCCACCAACACCAGCAACAACGAGCAAGACTAGAGTGACTACAGACCATATCTAGTAGCGGCGCAAGGTCGATGATAACATGTAAGACCAGTCGCAGAAAAAGCAGTTTCACGAGTAATAGCAACTTGCGTTACAATCAGAATCGTAAGATAATGGGGACCCAGGCTGCCAGGCATCGGCATCTAGCCGGCTAGAGTTCCGAAGCGGTCGCTGCAACTTCGATTTCAGGGTGCAGGTGTATTGGTTCAGTTCTTGCAAGACGCTCGCGGCACGTTCCGGGGCCATGCCTACCGAACTCTTCCAAACCATGAGTTGCCGCTGAAAGCCGGACTCTCCTCAGCCTCACTTTTGACCCTGAAGCCTTTGAGCCAGCAGCAGCGCATGTATTGGACGGCTCAGGTCACGCCTTGGTGGGCTGCTCGAAACGCCTCCCTCTCTGCTTGGCCTCGGCTGTACCCCATCGACCCGGCTTTGGCTGAAGATGTGGAAACTTGTCGCGGTGAGATCTTGGTGTGGGGCTAGAGACAGCTGATGCTCTTGGTTGGATAGCTCGCGTCAGGCATGGATTAAGGGCGGCATGACAGCTGACTTGCGGTGGTGCCTTGCGCCGTTCCTACGGTCCTACAGATTCCCTGCAAGAAAGCCTTACGAGGCTCACGAGGTGGTTTTCTCAGGTGCGTTGCCACGATTATGGTTGGAGGCTTTTAGCAGGCAGGCGCTGGTTCGTCTTCGTGCTGCAAAAGCCGCAGCCGTGTCACAAGGTTTGATTGATGCCTGTGCTTAGCGACAACGGCTCCATGTACGCCGCGGTATCGTCTCTACAATCTTGCTGAACTGAAGATTGTATACTGCACTAGTTGCGAGTCCATTATCCACAGCATCACGGCCCGCTCCGAAGAACTTGACGGTATCTCGTTGTTTCCATGAGTGTTTTGCACTGTTCGTGGTATCAGGTGGACCCCGATTGCTGAACCTAGGGCCGCGAATACCGGACTTCTCCTGACTCAACTCCGGCCCAAAGCACAAGACACTGAGGAGGAGACTCCACCACGCGGAGGCATGGAGCAGTTTGAGCCCTGGGCCAACCAAATGGTCGCCGAGTTCCTCCAGGCCCTCTCGCTTGGAAACCGACTAGCAAGCCTGTAGAACTGTAGAACGCATAAGACTGCTCCGTCGAGTCGCGCCTTGCTGCCAGATCGAGAAGATGTCCACTGCGGAGCCGCAAATTTGAAGCACACTACTCGTAGCTCTGGGTGCGCATGCCTTCCCTGTGATCTAAATGATACTGTAGCAATCAGGCATGAGATGTTGAAGCAAACGCACCTCAGCTTTTTCACTTCCTTAGGACTAAGCCATGCTTCCAAAGTGCTGCAGCCGGCTGAAAGCTAGTCCTGCGTCACGCATAGGCACAGGTCGAGATCCAGATCCAGACCTGAATGTGCAGACATGATACGGTCTTCTCTGCCACCTTTCACGTGCACCTGCCGAAAACTTGAAGCCTGCAGCACATGGTGCCGAGGTTCTGCGAGACTCGCAACTGGCAGTTCACAGGCCACACCGGCCACAGCTGTGAGTTGACTTTCAGGGCCTGACCATGTTAGTCACGATACTTGTTGAGCCGTTGGGAGACGGTCTGCTTGCAAGCGGATGCCCTCCAGCTAATTCCAATTGCAAGGCTCAGATCAGGCCGTTGCACAGGGGGGGCCTGGAGCCCAAGCAGGAGGCACCAGCTGTAATCTCTGTGGAGTGCCGAGCAAGGTCAAACAGCATTCATCCTGCCATCATGTAAAGCGAAGTTGCTTGTTTGGCTGTTGCTTGAGGCCAGACCTGCTTGTCAGCGCGGAGGCGGCCAGCCGGAAGCTCATCCTCGCGAAGTTGAGGAAACACTGATCACATCTCTGCGTTGCAGCCATGGCTCCCTCCTTGCTGTAACAGAATATGGCAAGCACCGTTGTTCGTTGTCTGAGCCTGGAGAATGCTAAACTTATCTTTCAGGTGCTGGACTTCTGCGCTGGCTTCTGAAGATTGAAGAGGCTGCAGCGAAGTTATCAGCGTCATCGCGGTAGAACTTTTGCACAGTTGTCACCAAGACGGTGTTTGCTGAAACATGGTTTTTGTGTTATCAAACTTCGAAGTTAGAGGCTCCTCGATGTACCAGAGCACTTTGCCTATGCTTGCACAGGGCAACGATGCCGTCGAGGTCGGTGTTGTGCCCGTCAGTGAGGTGGAGGCCGAGCCAGATGGTGGCTTATTAAGACAGCATTTATCATGTGGGCTACAGACAGACATGATGCGTGGCACCTGATTGATCTCGGATTGTGCCATGGTCTTCTCGTTCTTGTTTAAGTGTGCGCAGTCTTTGCTGCAACATGAGCGCGATCAGATGGTTTTTCTGATGTTGCTCTTGCAAGTCGTGCAGCTGGTCGTGTTGATGACCCCCCGACCCCGACCATGCCATGACGCACAAATCAGATAAAAATAAAATGATCCCTTGCTGCAGTTATTAAGATATGCTGATCGTAGTTACAAGAGTGCCTCCTTTGCGGCTGCCTTAGTTGTGTTAGGGTGTACACGTAGGTATTCGCTTCTTTCGACTCCCTCTCTGAAAGCCTTGCTACTATGCCCGGATGAAGCAGCTCAGGCCCTGCACAGCAAGTTCATGCACCCCTGAGGGTGATTCGCAGTGGCTCTGCGCTCTACCGGTACTATTGTGTCCAAGCTGTTGGGAAGATGATGGTGATGGTAGTGCGACGATGCCAGATGCCTCTGTGCTTGATACGTCTACCAGCAACACATACACGCGAACACAGACACACACAGAGACAGAGACACTTTCGTTTTTTCTGGTCTTGAACTCGGGCGTGTCCAGCCACTGCGCATGTCGTAAGCGAGTGATGTTCTGATCTGGGCTCAGAAATTGATGGTCTCGCATAACGTGCTGTTCTCACCTGGACCTGCAGGAGCCGGGATACTTGTTCAACACCGGACAGTGCGCCACTTAAACCACGATTGCAGCCTTCAGCAAGCATTGCATCAGAATCGCCGTGGTAAAGCTCTAGGCTTGTCAGCACAAAAGCCCAAACAGAAATGGTACAGCCGACCTTGGCCCAGCTTTAAGCATGGGGCCCACGTATTCCGGTGCTTGCAAGCAGGTAGCCGCTTTGCCTAAGTTTGGGTGTCCATGTGGATTCAGCAACATGTACTAAAAGCATTAGCTGTCAACTTGAAAGAGGGCCTGGTCGACCATAGTACAGGAAAGCATCTGACCTGGTTGTCTTTGTTGCCAAGCGCTTCCTCGGTGAGACCCCCACCCTTCCTAGAAGAATCGGTCCCCATGCATGCCCCGAAAAGCCTCCGTGTGTGCAAGTCGACATCTTGGACTGCAGGTGCGGCCTGAAATCTGAGAATGTCAGCGGCGGAGAAAGCGGAGGCGAGCAAAAGCGTCTGTCTCAGATTGCCTGGCTCAGGGCACGAGGGCATGAGACACACTTACCACAATTACCGGCACAGAGTAGTACGTAGGAACACAATTACGAGCACTAGCAGTATCAGTAACGTGGACGAGCATCGTCATCATCATCATACATCACCATCGCCAAAGCCAGACAGTTCCAGGACCTGTCATGTTGGAGTTTCGTTGAGATTCTCGTTGGTACTGCAATTCGGATGCGGCTTGTCTACAGAGTCTCAGGACATTGGCCAACACGTCAATGCCACTGCATCAGTGGTGGGGGGAGTAACCCGAAACTGACGAGCAGCAACTCTTTGTTATCACTCTTACGATGCTTTTCTTGAGTAATACTGCGTACATAGTTTAAGATCAACTCAATATTATAATTACCTTCTTGGTAGTTTACGCACTACTCGACCTGCTTCTGCCGCTGCTGCTACTGCTGCTGCTGATTGCTGCTGCTACAACGACAAGGACACCGCAGTTGCAATCACTGACAGCAACATCATTACCGGTGTTTGAGTGATACGTCATCCGCAACCCCATCCCCTCAGAGCTGAGCCTAGGCCAACTTGGCCCATCTACCAGAAGTTCGTTGAGATCATCTGTGACGTTGACCGCAAGAAGGCCGCTGTCGAAAAATGCGCACCGATGGGGCTTGAAGCTGAAAGGATTTAGAGTCCGTCGGTGCAGGTCCAGGGTTGTCCTCCCAAACCTCACAACCATGACCCTGCATTCAAAATTGGTCTCGAGCATGGAGGCCTGAGAGACAAGTCTTATGGAATCTTCCGGCCTATCCACTGATTCGAAAGCGGCTACGTTCGGCTTCCAAACTGTCGGTCGAGGTGCGAGCTTGAGACTTGAGACTTCATGCCATAGGTTGGTAGCGTCTTAGGACGGAACCAATCAGGTGTCCGGATTCTCTAAGTCAAGAGCCCATCTGAGGAGCTTAAAGACTTAGGAATACTGTTCCTGTACAACCCACAGTAGCAGAGTATGCCCCAAACTGTTACCGTGATTACCGGATGAGTGAGAGCGCCCCCCAACCACCTAAGCGGACAGAGCTTTCTGCGCCCCTCAGTTGGACCCGAAAAGGTGTCCTTCCACGTGGGGAGCAAAAAGGACAACCTGCAGGAGGCGCAGAGACTGCCTGGAAGTTGTAGCTGGTTGTAGCTGCTACAAATGGCTTCTGCTGAGTAGCTAGGCCAAATTCCTGACTCTAAATATGCGGCCTCAGGATTCAGGTTGCAGCTGCGTTCTGGCCGTTAGGCTAGACGTCCTGCTTTACTTGAGACGTCAGCTTCCAGGTCACCCTGGAGTTCTGCCTGTGTACTTGCGGGTCCCTTTTGCCTTAACCCCACATGTAAAGACTCTGCAGGTGAAGACCTTGGAGCTGCCTTACGACGAGGAGGTCAAGCTGGCCATCACGGGCTGGAGCGGAACGCGTGGGCGCCCCGAAAGCTGACAGAAGCGGTTGGCGTTCAGTTCCTGATTTGGGGTTGGGAGAGGTCATGATGAGTTCATGGTTGCGGGTCAAAGCTGTGTTTCGGCAGACCTCTCAGAAGCATTGACCAAACGCTTCCTGCTTCCTGGTCGGTCTGACCGCCAGGTGTCCGCTTGGAGCCGCCGCAGAAGTGGATGGGAGGCACCGACGCATGCAACTGGCCGATTTGGAGATGCACGGCTATAATACACGAAAATACGTATGCCATATCAGATCCATATCATATTCTGCAGTACAAGCTTTACTGCAGTATACCAGTGGCCAGAATATATGACAATATACTAAACTCTAGAACGTAGTAGAACACACGATAGCTGTGAGCAGAATAGACTACAGCATGTCGTGTCCTACTATATATATATATATATATACATATATATATATACATATATATATATATACATATATATATATATATATATACGGTATACCATGTGCAGTGCAGGTGAAGAGTCGGACTCCGACTCGGACTCCAATGCCGAGGAGGCCAGGATGCGAGCGGATACAGCGGCAAAAGCAGGCCATAATCGAAAAATGGTCCTTATGATGCTATAGTGTTGAGTAATGTACTGTACTTTTTCATGGTATTTTAGTATGTTACAGTAGATGGAAGTGTATTATGGCAGCATTTTGCAGCCTGGTATACTCTAGTCAACTGTAGTATGTATATTACGGCATATGATGGTTAATTGTGCATATTACACTAAAATTCTACAGTAAGTTATTGTGCAGTAGTGTATGCGCATGACAGCATCTTCACAAATCCGGGATACTCGCAGTGGGGCTGTGGTTGTGCGCAGACGTTTGTTCGAATCTAGCTGATTTAGCGGTCCTCAATCGAGGATGAGCAGTTCTCCAACACCTGTGGAAACGTGGCCGCTGCCCCGGGCAATGAGCCTCGGGCATTCCGGGCACAGAAATGCAGCCCGAACTGAGGTGTGAGGATCGCAGCACTTTCAGCTAACTCCGTAGCGTTTGGGAACTCTGGAGCCCCAAGTCATGCCTAAATCCTGACATGCCAAGTCAAGGTGCAGCCGTCCACATGGCATGTTGCCACGATCTGCGTCGATTTGGAGAAGCGGCAGGAGTTTTAGGGAAGCTTGGGGCTACAGGATACAGCTTCCGTTTAGATGGTTTTTCCAGGGCACTCGAGGACTTCGGCATGCCGCTAAAAAAGATCTTGTCCACATGGGTAGCTCTTCGGGCCGGTATCACCTTTTGATGATCAGGCGCCACAGTCAGCCTCCACAAAGCCAAGCCTTGCATGAGGAGATGCAAATCATCCTTGACGGTGAGCACCACCTCGTGGTCGGGAGCTTTGTTGATTCCCAGCTTCCGGCTAGCAGCTTTGGGGCGAAAGATTTATCCGATTGTACATCCACGTCAGGCTAAACTGTGATTGTACGAAACGGTTGCAATGTTTGCAGACTTCCCGCTCGCAAGTCTTTTGAGTCATCACCATCGGCGGCTATGCTTGTACAGAATGTAAATCGCTTAGGCACCGCTCCGTGCACATATACAAGCATGCATGCAATGTCAGATGACGGCTTGCCAGAGCTTTGTCTGAGACGCCCAAGGCGAGAGATCCGAGCCTTTTCGCTCCTGAAGGTCTCTTCAGCCGGAGACCAAGTGTTGCCTCGGGGCGATTTTTGCAGGTTTCTGGCTCAGCTTCGTTGCTTTTCCGAGGCATCGATCCCACTGAAGGCGTGGTGCTCTTCGGGCGTCGCCGGGCAGCTGGCCTTAAGAATACCGTCTCACGCCTCCTTACAGCTTAGCCCAAGCGCCTATGCTCTTCTGGGTTTAGGGCTGTGCTTTGGCACCTGCTGAGGCGGGAAAGCTGGTCGAGAGGGAGTGGAGGCTTGGTGGCCACCTGCGGCAGATGCGGATGGAGTCGTTGAGACCTTAGCTTCCGTTACAACCAGATTGATTCTGATACTAAGAGATTGAAATCTACATCAGAATTCTCAGCCGGGCCTTGTGAGAGAAGGCACAGAGTTTCTGCCTTCGAATAGCCGAAAACATGAAAGTCCCGAACATTCTGCCCAGGAAGTTTCTGTCGGTGGCGGAGGTGGGGCGGTAGCCAAAGCCACTGCTGTGATTTAGTCGCAAAAACCCGAAGTGAAGCGCCCGAAGCTGCGATTGCCTCCGAATCCCCAGTAGTGGGCCCTCGTCAGCTCGTCGTTGCAGGTTTGGGGACAGCAACTACCAAAGGGAGCAGCTGGCCCAGTCTGACCTAGTCCGCTTAAGATCAAGCTTGCGGCTACGAAGAATTTCAGAGGGGACCCGGGTCCCGGGCGTTGAGAGACCTTAGCAAAACTCCGAGAAGCAAAGCTTTCTTTTCCTGCTACGTGGACACGCCGCGGGTAACCTGCGCGCTGCAGAATGCATTTTTCGGGGCCAACCCGCTTACTTAAGTCTTTGGGGGAGAGCTGACAAACGCATTTTCAAGTAAAACCGTCCCATTCGGACAAAGCCCGCCGCCGCAGAGGATCTAAACATGGCACAGGATAATGCAGACTTGCTGGCTGCGACGCGCCACCACAAGTCTGGGAAGGGGAGGTGGGAGGATGGGAAGGTCGATTTAGATGCCGAAGCCTCGGCGGATATGCTGCAACGGAACTTGAAACATTCCTTGACACAAACATCCCTTCGCCGGCACCCCCTCAACACAAGCACCTAATCCACTTTCAGTTGCGAGGCACTGAACCCGACACTGGCCCGAGATTGCAGGCCCTAAAAACCAGCAACCTCGGCTGGAAGCGCGGGATGCTTGAATGTTCACGCAACAACCCCAAAACTACCGAACTGCAAGACGAAACCATGACCGAAAAACACAAACAAAAAAGCCTGCTGGACCCGGAACCTCAAATGTTGAGCCCTGTCAGCCCTAAATCCCCGAACCCCAACTCGAGAAGCATAGCAATCATGATGATACTAATCGTAATACGAGCAGTAACAGCAGACGCCCCGGCAACAGCAATAGTACTGCTGCCAGAACGGTGATTGACCCAGTACAAAGAGGAGCCATAATACTTGTAGCAAATGCAGTGCACAGTGCGTCATGATGATAAACTGCAGCTAGGTCTGGGGCTGCCGGACGTGTGGCGCTAGAAGCCCTGCAGACGTCCGAATCTGCTGGAGTTGCCACGAGCCGAGCTAAACTACATTGGGGCCATAATAAGTGTTTCGGGATCCGGCGACGGGAAAGGGCCCAAGCACTTTGGCAGTCCAGACAGATAAGTTAACTTAGGCCTTAGGCCGAGCTGCGTGAGCCAACAGTTTACTGAGAGGGGGACTGTAAGTGGGGATACCACTAAAAATCATTCAGAAGAAATCATCCAGTCCCCCAAAATTCAGTTGGTGCCTGGTTTGTGGTTTTGAAACTAGGTACGTCAGGGCCAGGGCTTGGGAGAACATTTGGAGGAATTTCGGCGGTGCGGAGTCTGGGACTTCAAGCTTGCGGCTTTGGGATTTAGTGTTAGTTCTGCGGGTTTCGAGCTCGGCGCTTGCTTCACGATTTGAGGAACAGCACTTTTGGTAAGCATCAGAAGAGTAATCTCGCGATAAGTTGTTGAAGAAGAGGAGGAAGACATGACATGCAGCAGGGATACATAATGATGCTATGGCAGCATCAACAACAACAGCAGCAACAACCCACAGCAAAAGAAACCCAAGAATAGCACCGTCCACCACCACCGCCGCCATCACCACCAGCAGCGGCAGCAACAGCAGCAGCAACAGATGTTGACTACAACATTGCTACTAGTAGCGTTAGTGGCAAACTCATCCGGGATGGTGGCCAAGTAACACTACTGACGGAGATAAGCACTCTGATCAGACCGGTAATGCATGAGGATGCAAGAATTATGACACAAGGCTCAGACCTCTCCAAGTACAGTGGCATAGTTGTCGCACATCCCATGCTATGGCTGCTATTGAGTCTTTACAAGTCGAAGAAGGTGCAAGAGCCGTCAGAGTGGAGCCAAGGGCATGGACGCCGATGAAGGTTGCAATAGCCGTGAGCGTTGTCATCGTTAGTCTGGGTTTCTGCGCCGTCTTGATTGTTTCCCTTATCAGACGCTCCGGTGCCAACCCACCTCCACAGCCTCCTCCAGATCGCAACGAAATCTGCCAGGACTTGCCGTACTCCTCGCTACCGGTACCTCTGATCACCGTGGGCCTTGCGGAGCCAGTCGCAGACTGGGGGAGTTGCCCCTTTTGGGAGGCAACAACTGAGTCTGCTTTGGGAGCGGGTTGGAACCCCCCCTCACCACACAGACGTCTTTCAACCGAAATGTGCCGCACGTACCGGGTGCCACTTGACTATAGCCAGGGACTGGCGGGGGGAAGCATCACTGTGACGGTGAAACGCTCTCGTTCTGCCACCGCAGACGACGGCCAGCTCTGGTTTATGCAAGGAGGCCCCGGTGCGCCTTCGCATCCCTTGCTATATAAGTTTGGTTTGGATGGAATCCCTGGAAAGGTTAGCTATACACTGGACCACCGTGGCACTGGTTGGTCTACAGTGTTGGATTGCCCCATAGCCCGCAAGTCCGGTACTTTGCCCTGGGGCAACTCGTGGATGAAGTGGGTAGGTCTTGGTAATGTGTCTACAGAAACTGTTGATGCCTGCCTGGCCGAAATCTCAGAGAACATTGGTGCGCCCAAGCATTTCACTGCAGCTAACGCCGCACGAGATTTGGCCTCCATCATCATGGCAATTCAAGCCGAAACAGGAAGCGCAGCTGATGTTGGCATCCAAGGCGTCTCCTATGGAACCGTATGGGCTCGACGCTTCCTGGAACTCCAGGGCCAGGAGTTTCCTGTTATCGTGTCACATGTCGGCATCGATGGTGTTTGCAGTGGAGACTATGATTTCGGCCAATATGCCTTGGCAGCTAACCGTGCCGGGAAGCGGCTGTTGGACCAGTACTGCGATGAAGATTGTCGTGGCAAGCTTGGTGCACCTGCCACTGGCTCTGTTGCCGTTTGGTTTGGGGAAGCTGTGAAGGAGATTGACAAAGCCGTTACCGATGGTTCAGCAGGTTTTTGTGGTACATACCTTTGGGAACGATTTGTGAGGTCAGCCGCACTCTCTGGATGGACAGCGAAAACATCAGCCAAGGAGGCTCTGGGTGCAATGGGCTACATACATGTTACGAGAGGGTCTTCCGGAATGCAAGCATTCGTCCAGATGGTTCTCACTTTGCGCCGATGTATCAAAGACGCGATTGGTACGACCATCCCTAGTGATTTCTGGGAAGTTGCTAACTCAATCGACCACGGTGTTGAGCTCGCTGAAGAGTACTTTCGTACCTATCCATCCTCCTTTTCAGCGATTCTTCACCATGTCGTCAGCTTCGGTGACATGTGGAAGCGACCTTAGTTGTAAAGGAGAACACACAAACGAGCAGACGCAAGCAGCACCTAGAAAAGCCCGCACCTGCCTAAACCAAGGAAAGGACCTCCTGAGCTACATGCTTGGGGTTCGGAGGGTGGTCAGCACGGGAGCTGCAGCTTGCAATCATGGCGAAGCTACTTCGACGAGTACGTCTTCTGGGCACCGGACTTCGTGACGTTGATGAGCCGGTATCAAGACGTGTTCAATAAGTATGGCTATCGCGAAAACTCTGTACTTGTCCATAGCGACGGTCATCCCTGGAGTAATGTCACGGTTCTCGTGACCAATGGCGACTTGGATGGGCTGACTCCCTTGCGATCTGCCCGCGCCACCTTTGAAGCTTTGCCAACTTGCAAAGCACAAGTCGAGCTTCAAACTGGAAAGCATTGTGTCTCCAGCGATGACTGTCTCAGGGATGTGATTACTGCCTTTTTCACCAGTCCGGTCTCCTGCCCATCCGGTTCCCTGATTCCGAACACTTCCAGCCACCTGGGTGAGGCCTTGAAAGCATTCGATTTAAAGAGCTGCAGTAAGCGCAAGATATATTATCCCTACGGCTTTCTGCCTGTAGCCGCCTGTGGGCGCGAACAGCACAGCAGCAATTGTGACGCGAGTTTTGGGTCTGATGGTGAGCATGGAGTTTGCGGGGGTTGTTTTGTAAAATGCGTCGAGCTGCTGGACAAGGCAAACGTGCCGAACTCAAGATGCGTTTGTGCGGCAGAAGCTGTTCGCTGTGGAGCCAGAGGCAATTGCACAGAGATGGGGGTTGCATTCTGCTCGAAAGAAGTGTCGAATGCTGGCTGTGACAACGAAGACAGGTTGTGCCAGGAGCCAGCTGCCACAGGTGCCAAAAGGTCAGCACCGGTTGTGACGTGATCGTCGGTCGTTCAGAAGACCCCAAGGAGGGTACCGAAAAGCTGCCAAATGCCAAAATGTCTGACTCGCATCATGGCGCCTAATGACCCAAATCTTCGGCGACCCCCAATTTCCCAAATTTTCCAACCCCTGCCAACCTCGTAACATCGATCACTTCGACCCTTCGTCCCGAGCTTAGGCCACACAGCCCGGCAGAAGAGTGCGGCGAGGCTGCGGGTTGGCGCACTTTGGAGACATTGTTACATGGCGGTTGTCAAAATTGGGGTCCCTTTTTTGGGTACCCTAGATACTAGGTGCCGTACTATAATAAGGACCCAAAACGGGACCCTAATTTTGACAACCCCCACATAGATGTAGGCGTTGCTGAAACATGAGCCCTCGAGTTTGCCAACTTTTGGGGCAGCGCGCTAAAGGTTTGGCTTCAGTTGGGACTGATTGTTCGTACACCCATGGTCCCAGGCAGAAATACTAGTAAGATCGTCCGAGGTCGCTCTAGGGCTGAGGATTCGAGTCTGACTGCTCGTTGCAGAAGCTCGTGTGTTCTCCATTTTTGATTGAATAGCCCTCAACCTTGAAAACGAAACTGCCCAAAACACTGCAAGCACTTTTTTTGAGCAGGCCTCCAAACGACGCGGATCCACGTCATGAGGGCCTCACGGCTGGGAGTCCTGATATTGCCCGCGCTATGGGATTTGCTGACTTCGTTGAAGTTTCGGCGGTCGGCCTCCGGTCGCCTCAGGTCCTGGTGGGCGATTCCTTCAAGGACCTCGTGCTGGAGTCTAAGGAGCCCTAGCCTCAGAGCTTTCGGAACCGGCTCTGATCGTTGCGAGTCTTGAGTCTTAAGTTTACCACAACTCTTGCTACAAAAAATTGAAAGTTGTAGTTTCGGTGTTGTCATGGCGGTGCGCTTTGTACACAGAAACTATCCGACGAATCCCTGCAGAATGAGCAGGGAAGTCAGGGACTTCGGCGGCGATGTATGTTGTGGAGATTGATGGCACAAGTACCCGTTCCAAAAAAATTCTACTTAAGCACCATTTACATTCAGGGCCGCAAGAGAGCGAAAAGTCAGTCCTTCATCTTCATCCGAGTTCAGTGACCCACAACTGACATGCAGCTTCCTTGGCTCGTGGTGCCGCGGTTTTGAGGCACGTCTTCGTGCTCATCTACGCGCCCTGGTGCGAAGCCTGCTCGGCGCCTGGCTGCGTACTGTCTACCCCTGGGAGTGCTTGAGGGTTCAAGTGCTCGTGGTATGCAACGGGGCTCCAAGATTCAGGGCGAGTCAAACCGCGCTCTTGCCTTTCGAGGGTAACAGCACAGGGGGTTTCGTTTGGGGTAGCTTTAATATACATAGGCGAAGACATGAGGAGAATGAACGTAAGTCATCGAATCCTCGCAATCTGGAGAGAAGTCTTTTGCTGGCCGCACACACAGCCTTCGAACTTGTTCCCTCTTGATCGCTCGCTCCGGATTCCTGAACCCACGATGTACGTACTTCTTTACAAGACGCTTAGGACATGAGTGTTTTGAATGCGTTACGCGCCTGTGCAGTTTTTATGGTGGTGGTTCGATTGTCGGATGATTTGGACTGCGGCCTGCAAGTATTCCAGAGTCTCCGTTTACTGAAGGTAGTAGTGTCTTCCGTGCGTGCATGAGACTTGGGCGGGGATACAAGTCGTCGTGGCAAAGCCCTGGAGACTCTTTGTCCAAACGGAAACATCGGACCAAACTCCGAAACCAACTTTTGCAACATGCGCTGAATCAGAAGCAATCATCCTCCGTGCAGCATGCATCCAAGAGCAGGATCAAGCTTTCAACGAAGACTCTCTTCGAATCTGTCTCTTCGAGCTCCGACACTCAACTGAGGAAGGCTTTCGTGGTAACTTGCAGTGTAGCAGTAGTGAGTACGCGGCTCTAAAAGACTGCTCCCAGTGAATTTGGGTCAAGTTTGATTCGTGTCTTCCTTAATTTTTACTTCTAACCCCGGGCCCAGCTCCAGTTTGAAGCCGCTCAGCAGGGTTCAGCGCTTATGCTTCGAGGCCAAGAGGTCAAGCCACACTGGAGAAAGCTTGCGAAGATGCTGAAGGAGCAACCGCAACATGTTGATTAGCGTCCTGTTACCCGCAATCGTCGCTGGTGTGTTCTCTGTTATGATATGACTTTGATGGTTTTGCGGCTGATGATGATGATGATGCTGGTGCTAGTAGTGGTGGTGGTTTTGCCGCATGCTGCTTGGTGTTGATGTTACATTGCTTCCAAGCTTTCTTCGGAGATGAGTAGGCTCCATTTGCAATGAGGGCATCCTCCTCCGTGCTACAGCGAAGACAACGGCGGAACGAGGACACCTCAACGACGACGACGGCCGACTACGACCACCAGACGCGGCGACGATGACGTTTTCCCTAACGCTGCACGGTGCTAAATTTGCCACTGCATGTGTTTTTCGCTTGTTCTTCTTCTATTGCCGCTGCTTCTGCTGCGGCTGGGCCGCGAAGGCTCCAGACTCCAGTCCGGTCTCTTGTACATGTGACATGCAAGGATGCAGGAAAGCTGTTTCGCCGTCAAGCGTTTCCAATGTGGAACTTTGGACTGGGCCGATTTCTGTGGCGTTCGCATCGGACCTTTAAATCTGGTAGAAGCACATTCACATTCCTTGCAAGTTTGTCCGAGTCCAGGTCCCTCACACGATTTCGGGTCTGTTAAGCGGAAAGACGCAATGCAGCTCGCACAGGGATCAAGCAACATCCGGATTGCTATGATGGACTCCGACGAGAACGATGTGCCACAGCCTTAAGCATGTAAATGTTGGGGATCTGTCTTCCACAGTCTCTGCACAGCTTGGTTAGCTGAGGCCCAACCGCTTCTTCCCGGAGTCCTTCATACCGAACGTCAAGCGAAGCTCTGAGCAGCTAGTCGAATTGCGGGGACAAGCTTTTGCGTTGGCGTCCATGCTACCCGTCGCACGCTTTTTCTCTGCAAGTATAGTTCAGTTCCAGTGTCCTGATGGCATGGTGCAAACTGCAGCAAGAGAAGGACAGGAGGCCGAGACCCAAGCTTAGCCGTCTGGTGCAACCGTATGCTGGCCGCAACAATGTCTAACCGCTAGATACACACACACACATATTATATATATATATATATATATACATATATATATATATAGACGCCAACACCGAGCCGGACCCGCTACCGCCCGCGCAAAAAACAAAATCGACTCATGCATCACTCCGCGCGGCCACGAACAGCTTACATGTGAAGCCTTGTAGCGGCATTGTAGCATGAAACATAAGATGACATGGCCTTGTTACCGGCGATGGTGGCGCTGGCTACATTGGATTCCTGCTGCGCTGACTGTGCACTTCGCAAAGGCCTTTTGCAAGTTCGTACAGGTGTGAAGCGTTTAGCTGGTGAGGATGCAGCTTATCCGGCGTGCTTTTTTGATATCTCTAGAGCCCGGTTGTAGCCCACCGGGCAAGGACTTCGGAGGCTTCTCAGCGCCTGGCGGCCAGGGCCAGAAACGCGACGTGGCCGTTTGTTGGGGGGGGGGGAAGGAGGGTGTGAACTGTGTCGTTAATGTGTTGCTGTCTGACGGTTGCCACGCCTAGCACCCGAGCAGGGAATGGAGCCAGAGTCAGGCAGCCTCCTGACCATGACTTGGTCTTAGACTTGGGGTGAACAGTGCCCTTGCGTTGGCTAGCAATCACTGGATCTGTGGCGCCGAAAACCTACTGTAACATGGTGCATTACATGGTTCGGGTTTTCGGGCATAGATTGTCTACCCTGCCCAGCCCATTCCATGACAGACCACAGACTTACCTTGGGTTAGTAGGGAATGGAGGAATGGGGTACAATTATAACTACTATTACTACCCTTCTTCCATTCCCTACTAACCAAAGGTAAGCAAAGAGCCACAAGGACTGGTAGAGCTGGGCGTCCCGACGAGAGAGGCGGCAGGAGTGGCTGCTTTGGCCGAGGAGGGACCTGCCCAAGACTCTCCGAAACTGACATAAAGATTCAGGGTCGGTTTACTCCAGGGTGTCGGATCCTGAACCGCCGGAACAAGGATCCTTCTGAGAGGAGTTGAAAGGTTCTGATTCTACTGACTTTGGAGTCGGTACTTGCCACTTTGGGAGTTCAGCCCTTGACAGACCTAGGTTACAAAGGGCCTTGAATGGGGTTGAGGGTTTAGGGCAGAGGGCAGTTTAGGGGCATCTGGAAAGCTCCACGAAGCATCTCATCAGGAATGGGCAGCCCACGTGACCCGCATACTCGCCTGCGCCTGTTTCGATGGATTAGGCTGCCAAGCCCGACCCGATACTCAGCCCGAAAAGCTTATCTGAAACTCCGAATACCTTTAAACCCAAACCTTCAGAAGCTCAACAGCGTTTCGGGTCCTTCACAGAAAAGCCAGAAGCAACAACCGTCGGACCGGAGCTCAGAAGGGTCGCTGCTTTGAGGCGCTAGCGGCGGAAGGCCCAGAGCCACTCGCAGACCCACTGACGCTGCTCCGGTTCTACAGGCGACCCAGGGGAGCGGAGGGGAGAGGGGAGGGGCGGGAGAACCCCGATCCTGACGGGTCAGGCACCTTAGATTGTTTATGGTTTGAGCTTGTGCCGACGTCTTCTGAATCCGGTTGCGGGTCTTCTTTGGGAGGTACCCACTCCCTCAATCGAGGCCCAACTGTCTGCTTGAATCCATCCGGAATCCCATGCATGAATGCATCTGCTTCGCATAGTGCCAGAATCAGAGCGGTATCTAGAAGTTCGGAGTCCCTTGGCACTGGTGGACCCGACACGATGCAGCACGCCTGACGGGAGAGAGGTACGACGTGTTGCTGTGCACAGGCTTGATGTTGGTACTGTAGTAGCTAATCATGAGCAGTGCTAGTACTCGAGGTAGCCAGCAGATTTGTCATGATGTATTCAGTCTGCCATTGTTACTGTATTGTTACTCTGGTTATTGCCGTTGTAGTTCGGGTGAACGGTGAAAGTCTTCGTCGCAATCATGGTGGCACTGGTAAACACCGTCGATGCCGCCCTCGTCGCAGCAGCAGCCGCAGTCAGTAGTCGCAGCAGCAGCAATACTAGCGGCAGTCGCAGTTTCAGTTGCTGTTGTTCTTGCTGTTGCTGCTGGTGCTGCTGTTGTTATTGTGGTTGGTGGTTCTTTGTTGGTGGTTGTCGGTTGTTGGCTGTTGGCCGTTGGCCGTTGCCTGTTGATTGTCGGTCGTTGAGTCGCTGGTTGTTGTTCATCGTTGTTTGGTGGTCGTTGTTTGGTGATTGTTGGTTGTGGTTGTGGTGATTGTGGTTGTTGTTGTTGCTGTGGTGGTGGTTGTGGTGGCGGTGGTCGTTGTCGTCGTCGTTGTTGTTGTCGTAGTCAGTGGTGGTACATCGTGTTCAGTAGTGGTGCTTAGTAGCAATACAAGTAGTCGTCGTCGCGGTAGGCGTAGTTAGTCGTACTAGCCAGCAAGTTGTAGTTGAACCATGATCGTTGTTATGTTCCAGAACTTTCATTCCTGCAACCAGGGCCCGCAGACGCGACGTGGAAGCAGCCGCTGGCATGTACAATGCTACCCTGGCATGGCGTACCAGTTTCTCCATCCCGCTAGTGATGGATGCTTACGGCGAGCCTGGGCATTACAAACCGGACTCCGGCCGTGCCACAGACCCTGCCACTTGGTCTTGGGTGTGCGCTCCACGCACCCCTCGGTCTCAGCTGGCCATGCGCCATGCATTCTTCGGTCGAATCTGCACGCAAAAGGCAGACGAGCCCATCTTGATATGGCGGGCCGGCAGCGCAGACTACAAGGGGATAGTGCGAGAAGACATGGTCGATCTGATGATCCAAGCCTTCGTCGTTCACCTGGAGGACACGAGCGAGTTTGGGGTTGCATTCTGGAGTGCCGTTCTCAGTCTGTAGATTCTCGGGATCAGTGGATCTTTGTAGTTTTCCCGGCTTGCAGGAGTGATCGTCGTGGTCGTCGTCGTCGTAGTAGTGGTAGTAGTAGTAAAGCAATAACTTTAATAACAACGATTAATAGTAATCAGGAGGAGGAAGACCAGGAAGAGCAAGGAGTCCAGGGTCTAGGAGTGTGGGAGACTAGGACTAGGAGAGCAGTGGAGAGTAGGAGGAGACAGCCTTTGTCTTCGTCGTAGTCGCTGTCGTCGTCGTCGTGGTAATGGCAGAAGCCGTTAAAGAACACGAAGCCATCACCAGAAGAAACATTGATTGCATCCTGATCCGTGACAACACTTGACAACAGGATGCGCTGCAAGCTTCACGGGCAGCATCCATGAGAAAAGGCGAGCTGGTTCGTGCCCGTCTCATCATAGACTGTGATGGCTTCGGCTTCGACAATGCGCGGTATATACCGATTCTGCGGAGGATCATCAGCCTTGGCAAATCCTACTTCCCTGAGGTTACTGCCTCTGTGACGGTGGTGCGGGCACCCGCCTTCCTTGCCACTTTCTACGGACTGATTAGGCCCTTCCTGCCTAAGCTGCTGCAGGACAAGGTATGCATACTGGGCAAAAATTTCGCTGCAGGCTTGCAACGGCACACAGGGCTGGATATAGCAATGCTGCCGCTTTTCCTCGGTGGGAGCTCGACTGAAACTGGGATGGCCGAAGCTCTTCCCGTGCCTACGGATGCCTGGAGTTCTGCCTCTTCGTCTTGACAAGCCAGCAGGTTAATGACCCACATGCGGTGGTGACAGCTGCGTGTAAAACAAGGCCATGTTCGGCTTCAGCCTGTGCGTTCTTTGACACCGAATCGTTTTCGACTGGGCAAGAAGCATGATCATCACAATCATCAAACAATAAGTAGTGGCATGACCATCATCGTCCTCATCATCATCATCGTCGTCACTCGTGGTCGAACTTACTGCTGTTTCATGGTCGAGCGCGCACTTGAGGCTGTTCCTCGCGGGCAAGAAGGGGAAGCCACTGGCATGCAACTCTCGAGAACGAACATTCGAGCCATGGCCCCGGGATCTTCGAATATCTTCCACTTCAGTGTCCTGATCGTAGTGGTGATGACGATTATGAGGGTAAACTTATTATTGTTCAGAGAGACGTGCCCCCTTCCAGCCCAAGGATCCAGAGTCTCGTTAGAAGGCTGCATCGGATCCCGGGATCAGGGAATGCCCCAATGCTCGACTCGACACACGTGGACTAGATTCAGTTCTGCTGCATGTTGACCCACACCACAGCAGGTCCTACGTGAAGTTCCTCGAAGAGCACACGAACGTTTCCCTCGAATCGGCAGCAGAGGCCTCGAGTTGACCTGTGGAATGGCGTCAGCAAAGGATCGGGTTTCATCCTCCTGCTTCGACAGTCTACTTTGACTCTCATTCTGCACCCGGGTGTCCATGTGGGTAACGGGTAAACGCAGACATGAGAGGTATTATGTGACTGGAAGTGATCCTGCCCGAGAGCGATGTCCAATGAGATGCAGCACCTTGCCATATTGCACAAGATCCAGCCCCATGCTACAATAGTACATCATGTACTAGCCGAAGTTGTGTTGTCATGGCTTCGTAGAGTGTGTTACAGTTACGACTTGCGACACATTGACCTCGACAGGATTTCTACCCACAATACTGCGAGTTGCACGGTGCCGGCACCTCAAAGGGACCAGAAAGTTTTGGGGCCCTATGTCCTATGTCCTACAGGCTTCGGGCCTGCATGTGGTGTGTCGACGTGCTTGAACTAAGAGACGGTTGTTCCAGCTGCAAAGCAGCTCTGAAATCTCCGAGCTGGCAAGACCCCCGTCGCTCTTAGGCTGACGTGAGAATCATCGAGTGAGCTCCACAATACACCTAAGGTGCCGGCTCTTGTTGATGAGCTTCGGCAGGCGGCCATGATTCAGGACACCTCCCCTTGCATCAAGAGGCTTGAAAGTGCTACCGCAGCTTCCGTCAGCAAATTGGCAAACTCGTTGCAGAGCGCTGAGGGCTTAGGGCCTGGTTGCAGAAGCCATAGACACAGACCGCGCTAGAGCACCGTCATGTGCTCAGCCGACGTGGACGTGGGAACTCCGGACACAGCACTGCACTTGACTCCAACACCCCTTGGGCTCACCAAGGAAAGGCATCAAGCACTCGCCTGGTACACGAAGAGTTCTCGCAACGAGACCGCGAGTCGCTGCGCCAGCCGGCCCAGCCATTGCGAGTCACTCGCAAGGCAAGTCGCCGAAGGAACATGGACTTGAAGACTTGCCCTTCGAAAAGACAAAAGACAGATGACCAAAGCCCAAAGGGCTTCAAATATGAACTGAACCAACCTCCACAGGCTTCCTTGGGTACATGGGCCGGCCTGAACGGCAGCAGTTTTGGAAGCTGGGTCGCACGCAACTGTCGGCAGGAACTGAAGCTAATGCAGCCGGGACCCCAGGTGGATCAATTCGGAACGCATCGTTCATCTCTCACCAGATCTCAAACCTGATGATCCCAGTTTTGAGGCTCAGTGCAGTGTAGCTGCTTAGCATGGCCCGAAAGCTACATGAGATCCGTCTTGACTCAACGCCGCAACGCCATCCGCTCGAGGTGGCGACGGCCACCAACCCAAGCCTTGGCTTCCTTCCTCTACTCTTACTTGCTGGACCCCATGCGACTGGCCGACGGGTGGCGAGTCGCTTCGGTCTTGCGATTGCTTGAGGAAGTGTCTCTGACTCGGAGTTGGGCTCGGAAGTTGGAGGTGTAGTGCTCGTCCATGGTTGAATGGCCCGAAACCCCAGCTTGATGAGAGGCCCTTGTATCCCAGCGCTACAGACATGCTAGCTGCTAGCTCTGTCCTGAAAACGAGACAGACTTCGGTACCTGACAAGCCTTGATGTAAGTAGGTGCCAAGCAGGCCCAGCAGGCGGATGCATTCTATGCGACATTCACGGAGATGGTCCGAATGTACTTAAATAAACGCACTTCTCTGTATCTCCTGCACAGCTGGTTGCAGGATCCCAATGTCCATTCCACGGTGGCGATAACTCCCTTGGCAGATGTCACGGGCTCGGCTGCTTGCGCATGAGACAAGCGCAGTGATGATTTGCCTCCAGCATGGAGGTTGCTTTGCAGTTTCGCCTCAACAGACTGCTCTGATGAACTCAGTTCTAATCCAAAGCTTGCGCAGTTCCGCAGAATGTTCCCGTCAAACTACCATCCCCGAATCCAGGGCTGAGCCGTCACTTTCCAGCCATCTGAGCCACTTCAGCCGAAGAGAATTTGAACCTGCACGTGACAACCTGCACTCGCACAAGCTCTTCGTTGACAACCAGTGCGGAAGGTCAGAATTCAAGCTCGAGCTGAATAAGATCGATTCTGATAACAGCAGTTTCCAAGTCTGAAGCTTTCCTCCCCCCTGAAATCCCTTGAACACGTCTCTGGCCAGCCCAAATCCGTGACCCCAATCTTTTTCTGAGGCCAGCCCGGAGGATGCAAATCAACTTGCCACGGGCTCGTGGTTTCGGGCTGGTTTGAATCAGTGAAGCCTCAAAGGTCCTTCTCAGGCGTTTTCCCTGTCCTGTGTTTCATGGGTTCATGGCCATAAGATGTTTGTTTGTCTGAGGGTGCTGAACCATATGCTCGGGGTGTATCAAATTGCGGCTTGAGTTTATGTGTGCATGCTGCTGCTTGTGCGTACGACCTGCGGAGGGTTCTGAATCAGCTTCAAATTGCACGCTCTGGGATTGCGGGTAGACATGGCAATGCAGCCCTAGCCCCCTCCAGCAGTCCACAAATTCAATGCCAAGTTCTCCTAACGTGTGTAAGTTGGAGGTTTCGTGTCCAAAAGTCTTCAAGCTGCTACATCCGCAAACAGCGCAGGAACCTCACACAAGCTGCAACTTCCGAACGCATGTGAAAAGTGTGTGTGACACCCCATACCAGCACAAAGCCCCCTAAAGCCCATAGCCTTAGACCCTGAAGCCCGAAAACGAGGCTCGCAAACATACTCCAACCACTGGGCCTTACAACAACAAGTCGCCAAGTCTGCAGCATCAAGTCTCAATCAACCCCGAAGCCTCTAATCCAGTGCTCCATTGTGTCCACTCCCAGCATCCGACCTCAGCGAGGCACCCACGCCTGAGCAGTCGCCACTGGTCATCCAAAGGCCCGGTGCTCGGTGCTCTATTGTGCCTTTGACTCGCAAGCTTCCAAGAGCTAACGCACCGAATATCCAAACCCTCGCGGAAGATTCGACCTCCTTCTGAATGGCTGGCTGCACTCTGCCCTTTTGAAAGGAATGACGAGCACTATGACTATAACCATTACCATTACTAATATCGCAACGGCGCTAAAAAGAGCTCTATGCTTGCTGGCAAAGCTTACTATAGCATAACATACTATAATACACTGCAAGATACTAAAATGGTATATTGCACTAATAACATGTTATGCTATATGGGTGGTTGTCAAAAATAGGGTCCTTTTTGGGTCCCTAATATTATACGGCACCTGATACTTAGGGTACCCAAAAAGGTACCTTAATTTTGACAACTACCCATATGGGTCGTGTTTGTCTCAGGGGCTCGACTGACCCGGAAGCAGCTGCTCGACGGCTGGCTCCTGCCTAAGCCGTTCTGAAAAACTGGGACGGTGGTTTAGGGCTTCGGGCTTGGGTTAAGAGTTAAGGGTTTCGGGTTTAGGGCTAGGGGGTTTAGGGTTTAGGGTTTTGGGATTTAGGTTAAGGGTTTCGGGTTTGGGGCTAGGGGGTTCAGGGTTTAGGGCTTCAGGGTTAAAGTTAAGGGTTTGGGGTTCAGGGCTGGGGGGTTTAGGGTTTTAGGGTAAGGGCTTAGGGCTTCGGGTTTACAGGGTTCAGGGTTTCAGGGTTAGGGTTTAGGGTTAAGGGTTTAGGATTGTGGACGCCCTTTGGAATTGCGTAGTTTTCGACTTCACGGGTTTGCGGTTTGGGGGACATGTCGGGTTTCGTTGCGGATCGGACTCATGCTTCTTGGTTCTTGCATGGTTTTCGCTCTGGCAGGGTCCTTCAGAGTCGGTGTTCTTGGAGCTTCGACGGCCTCCTAGGAAAGCCCAAACTAAGTACCGGGAAGGGGAGCCCGAAAATGCAGGAATTGGGATTCGGGCCGGGCGCAGCTGGTGCCCCAGCTCCTTCTGTGCTTCTGCAGGGTCATTGCTGTTCAGTTGGCCACCCTGGAAAGGTGGTGTGAAATACGGGTGCCGTTGGATTGTTCTCGAATGCAGGGATTGGGGGGGGCTTCAGGGTAGCCGTACTCCTCAGACAGATTCAGACTTGATGCACCTGCTTTGGTGCGAAGTGCGACAACCGTGGGCTCTCGCTGTGCGGCAAGAGAGCAGCCAGGCTCGCTGACGGCCCATTTCGGCTCAGCAATCCCAGAGTTGTTTGTCATAGTCCAGCGTCTTTGCAGTAGATTCGATCATTTTGACTTTTGGTGCTGATCCAGACCCGTCAACTTTCCGTCGGCTTGCCCGGTGCAAGCACTGATCGCGATGGATGAAGCGCTGGCTCGCCTGTCCCAGTCTGTTGAGAAGGAGCTCCAGGCTCGAATGGAGTCGCTGGTGCAGCAATTCATGGCCGACTCCGTAGAACTTTGCCGGCAGGTGTGCAAGCAACACTTTGCAGAGTTCCAGCACCGGCAAACCCAGCTGCGTGATGCAGCGGATCCTGTGGTAGTTGCCGTCACGCAGGGAACAGGACCTACGCG